TTCATTGACTTTCAAATAAATTGTGATTATAATCCAGAAAAGTCGTCTATATCTAGTTTTTACTCCTGCCTCCAATCAGTGAAAACTATAGTTGTTCAACCTTCAGAACCACCCAAAGATGTTATTCCACAACCAACGAAATATGTTCTTCCACAACCACCCATAGAAGATGTTCTTCCACTACCACCCAAAGAAGATCTTCTTCCACAACCACATATAGAAGATGTTCCTCCACCTCCACAATTGGCCAAAGAAGATGTACCTCTACCAACAGAGAGTTCATCAGAGCACATCATTCAAAAAAGAAAAAGAGAATATGATAAAGAAGCTGAAATACCAGATGTGATAAAGAAGAACACAGAGGCTATTTCGGTTGATAATATACAAATTGAGCCTCGACCTGCACTATAATTTATGGATTATCCAGAGAAAGCTTTCCTAACATAGAAGCAACAAATTTTTATGAATAAATGTTTCAAAAAATTTGATAAAAAGTAAGTTCACTTGCGTTATACTTGCTCTATACTTGTGCTAAGGTTGCGCTTTACTTGCGCTAAACATGTGCTTTACTTGCGCTATACTTGCGCTACACCTGTGTTTAACTTGCGCTTTAACTTTTTTTTTTTGTAGGGAACGTAATATTTACATATAGTAACATAGAAATAAAAAGAGCATATATTGACTTTCTGCTTACAAATGATTGGTTAACGGACAACCATGTTGATGCTTTTGCTTATTTTTTATTAGAGCATAGTAGGGTAATGTCAGACAAATTTCAACGTTACTTGTACATTTCTCCATTGTACATGATAAATATATTTATTATTTATATTCTATTTTTACATTTTTTTTCTTATATTACTGAATTATTGCAAGTATACAAGTTCTACAAACAGAATTATCAAATGTTTTTCCAACACGTTAATCCTGTTTATGTGAAAGAATGCAAACTTATTGTTCAACCCATAATTTTTGAGAAGCATTGGGTTCTTATTATAGGAAAATTGAAGGAGAAAGTCTGGAAAATGTATGATTCCTTATCAAATCCTGAACACAATGATATATGTCATACAACTGTAAATGAAATCCATATTTTAAGTTAAATCCAGATAACTATGTTTCCATACCTAATATACTTATAAAAGATTTTATTTATTCAGATAAAATATTTGCATGAGGACACCCAAGGATGCTTTTTAACCGATATAACAAAATTGAACTTACAAATGGTTCGTGGACTTCCAACTCAATCAAATGATTTTGATTGTGGAATGTTCGTTTGTAAATACATGAAGAAAGCCGTGTAACAAAAGAAAGTAGACTGTACTGCTTATAAAGATTGGCAAACGTATATGCCAAAATTTAGGATAGAGTTATCATATTTTCTTTTTCTTATAACAAAGAAGTAAATATTCTGCAACATATTGTAAATATTGTCAATGAATTCTAAATGTATATTTTATTATGTTAATATATAGTTTTTGATTGTTGTGTAACATGTGTAAATTTGATTAATTGTTGTGTAACTTCTACCATAGCATATGTATAGTGCAACCGTAGCACAAATAAAACACAAACAAAGCGCAAGTAAAGCGCAAGTAAAGTGCAAGTCAAGCGCACGTCAAGCGCACGTCAAACGCAAGTATTGCGCAAGTATAACACAAGTATAGCGCAAGTATAACGCAATTAAAGCACAAGTAAAGAGCATATTTTTAAATTTAAAAGTAATCAAAGCATGATTCATATAAAAAATTTTATTGCAATCAAGAAATGAAATCATCAATTCTAAATAAATATTATTACAATGCAAATTCATTAAATTCCAACTCCGCAGAAATGAAATCCATCATCAATTTGGTGTATTCAGCTCCAGGTTGGCTTGTTGGTAGGCCGGTTATAAATTTCTCACTGAAACATTCAGGCATGCTTGAAAAGTTCATCTATGTTGAAGAATGTTCATCCATTGGGTTATCCCCCACCAAAGATTTCTTATATATTAGAAAATAGAGTTTTAGTCTTCGGTAAGGAATTAAATGATTAACATGTTATTAAAAACTTACTCTTAGGCCATTTCTTCTTTTCCCAATGGCTTTTTAGTCTTGCATTTGATATGCCTTTAGGTCTACGCTTTAGAAGATCTTTCAAATTAGCACTTCCACCTTGGAAACTATCAACATCCTTCTGATTTCTTTTCTTGCCACCAAGAATTAAGTATAATTTTTGAGACATGTCTTGCATTGAGGACATCCTTGAGCTTCTGTGCTCATTTGATATGTAAAGCTGGTCACTTGATTTATGAATATGAATCCCCTACCACTTTGAAAGTTATTACTTCGTTGAGAATTAAGCAAGTTACCTAAATAAATGACTTGTCGAGCCCTTGCTGACCAATGAAGTAATAAGTACTTATCAAGGAATTTAACCATATCCAACTGTTTAAAAACCTTCAAACAGTGAGAACACAACAATCCCATGATTTCATACTTCTTACAGCTGCATTGAATGCTACCTTCTGTTGCATCAAAGTGAACAACCCAAGGATGTTGTTAGTTCTTTTTCTTTATGTAGTTGACTATAAACTTTGAAGAATCAGTCGAGACTAAATCTATACTATTTCTCCCACAGCCTTTATAAATTCTTTCTAAAAAATTGAATATATTTTTCTTGAGTAAAATCAAGCAGCTTGTTTTAATATTGAGCTGTTCTTTATCACGGGAACAATTTCAGATTGACTGCATTTATACTCCTCATCCTGCTCATTTTGCCGCCAATTCATCAATACCTTTTCCAACCCAAGAAAACAATTAGTTAATGAACTTGTTGGCTTAGAAATGCCATGACACACATTATTAGTACACTCGCTACGCTGTGTTGATAAAATGCCCATGCTAAAATAATCCTTGTTGAAAGCAGTTGACCACTTTCTCCTTATCTTATAAAGATCATGCAACCATTCATGATTATGAAGATTCCATTCCTTGATCATTTCATCTCATGCTTCTTCAAACACTTCCTCATAATCACACCACCTCATACACTTATAGAAGAGTCCTTTAACTTTACTATTGCTATTGTAGATAAAACTTTTGATGAAATCTTTTTAAAGATGTGCCATTGGCGTAATCTATGACGAGTGTGAGGTAATGCAACTTCTATGGCCATGACTATAGCTGGGTACTGATCAATGAATATTGTTGTTTGGTATTTATTACCCATTATTCGTACAAATATTTTAAACAACAATGTAAAATTTTAACTTGTTTCTTCTGACAAAAAAACAACCCCTAACAAAATATTATGCCAATGATTGTTAACACCAACAAATGGTGCACAAACAAAATTATACTTGTTCAACCTGTAACTAGTATAAAAAATCAACACATCTCCAAAGCATTCATAATCTATCCTGCTTCTGCCATCAATCCAGAAAAAAATTAACAATCTATCATGATCATCATATTGAACATCCCATGCGAACATGTGGTCCTCAACTTGTCAATATTTAAATAATTTGAATCAAAGAATTAGTGTCACCAATTTCAATCCTTGCTCTTTTCTCCTTCTGAATAAAATTGTAGGCATCCCTCTTAGAGAATACAACATTCTCACATCCTCCAACTTCCTCTGCAAGGTAGGCATGCATCAATGGTTCTAATCCCTGCATCTGTCATTGATTTTAGGACGGAAGCTTTTTCCTCAACAACATTCCTACATGATCTCAAAAGGTGTCGGTCGACTGGGCTAGCTAATTCATGGTTGTGAGATTCAATAAATCTTTTGACATGCCAGTAACCATCTTCATCTGTGACAAACCTCACCATGGATGGACAACCAGTTCTAACATCTGGTCTATTGAATATCTTTCTTGAATTAAGATCAATACTTTTCTTAAAACCTGTTTTTGAACAGACAAAGTCCTTCGATTTTATCTTCCTAGAATTTAGCCAAAAACTGTGATGATCCTTACGGACGCTAAAGCCATTATCGTGGGCATAAGTGCAAAAACATTCATATGCTTCTTTCTCATCTTTATAAACAGTCTGAAATGATAAAAAAATTAACGAAAATCGCAAGTATAGCGCAGGTATAGCGCAAGTAAAGCGCAAGTATAGCCAAGTAAAGTGCAAGTAAAGCGCAAGTCAAGCGCACGTCAAACACAAGTATAGTGCAAGTATAGCGTAGGTATAGCGCAAGTATAGCGCAATTATAGCTTTGATTTTTTTATCATCTTTATCCTAAAAATAATAATGAAAGCTAAACAACAACAATAGAGCTTTTTTTACTTTTCTTACAAAAAAAAAAATATTCTTACTAAAAATCGCAACATCTAAGATCCTAAGACTCTAATAAGCTGAAACCTACGCCTTTTTTCTACGGCAATGAGATTGAAACTGATTGTTTACAACTTTCTAACTCGTTTTTCCAACTTACGATGAGATTGAAACTTACCGATATGTTGAAACCAAAAGAATTTCTAGCTAAGTTAGCTTCCAATTCCGATTAATGCACCAGCCATTCCGATTCATGCATTCTCTCCGGTTCATGCACTCTCTCTTCCATGCCCTCTTCCACCTCCCTCTTCGCTGAGCATTCCATTTCTTCTTTGCAAATTTCTAGCTCGTTTTTTCTTCTAAAGCAATAAATATTTACATCTTTTGCGGGTTTCAAAATACAAAAAAAGGGCGGCAAACACTTAAAATGAAAATAAAGTGAACTGGGTCGGGTCGATCGGGCTGACAAGACATAAAGCAAAGATATTAAATTAAAAAAATCGCTGACAGATGTCGTCTTTCTATTGGCGTCCGAACGCGGAAATAAGTTTGGTCACCTGACCCAATAATTTGCAGCGGGGAGAGGGAAGGGCTAAGCTACACCGACACGGATCTCTGAGCGTGTGGAAAGAGCTTAGCTTTAGCTACACGAGCGCGCTGAGGGTGTGAAAACTGAAAAGAGCTTAGAGATTTTATTTAATTTTTTAATTATATTTTTAAGAAACTAAGCTCCCCTGGTCACCCCTGCTTGCTTAGCCCGAACTGCTGCTTGGCGGCTGACGGGTGTTCAACCCCATTGTCTCTGCCACCCTCCAAAACCCTATTTTTGTTCTCGATTGGAAAACCTAGTTTCCTTAGATAGGACGTTGCCAGGAGGCCATGGAGATTCCGTCTGAGCCGAAGCCGACGCATTATTTGGACTTCGCGTGCGTCACCCTGGAGGACCTATCGCCCTCGACGTCGTCCTATACGCTTCCACCGGTGGTCACCGCCTTCTTCGCTCCCTCCAACTCTGGAGTTCCACAGCTTCGTTTCCAGCAGTCCGAATCCGTCGGAGACGTCTTCTGCTTTGGTCTCTGCGATTCTCAGGTTCGATGACTTTCTTTATTGGAGGAGAATGTGGTTTCTCTTAATTCTATGTTTAATGCATGGTCGGAAACTTTTTTATATGCTTTGTTTTGCTGCTTATGTGATGTTGTTTTGTTCACTCGGCATTTTGTCTCTGTTTTGATTTTCAGCTCGTTAATATTGGACCTTTGGAGACGTTGGTTGTAGTCGAAGAAGCAGGAAATAGTGATGCCAAAAATGTATGATTATGTGCTAATGTTCTTCTTTTTCTGTCACATAATGTATTATTTAAAGATAATGGAATGTTTTTTCCATATCAAGGTTGTACCTTTGCATATTCATTTAAGTTTAGCTGATCTGTTCTATTAATCTTTTTGGAAGGTTTCTAAAGTTTATCTATGCCGACTAGCTACAACTTTTTAATCGGTTTCTTCTATTATGTTAATTTTTGGAGCTTCAATTCTTATCTCCATAGCATATTCAATATTCTGGTTCATATTAAGTTATCTTTCTTGTCATGTTTTTTGTGGGGATTGCAGTGCTTTATATTTAATTAGCAAAAACGGTTGCCTAAATTAACAGTAGCTATGGAAGATTAAATAAAAAACATATCCCTTTAAGTGTAAAAAAAAAAAGAAAAAAAAAGAAAGCTATTGTACGACATCTATTTTTCCTAGAGGATAATCAACTTTAGATAACCCAAATAAGTACATGATGCAAAAAATAGAAACCTTCTAGCTAACAGTTGAGAATCCAAGGGGGTAAAGATCATGAAAGACCTAGAGGAGACAAGATTGACAGATGGTAGGTGATATCTTAGATCCTTAGTGGCTTTGAGCTACCTTTCCAACACCTAATCTCCACTATTATCAGACCCAATGATGGACCCCCCAAAGTTATTTTCTAGGGAATGATTGTAAACCCATCAACACAGGACACATATCATCACCAACCTTTATATTTTGGGATTTTTAAATGAATAATTTCTGCATCATAGTTGTTTCATCCAATTGATAACTAACTCATTAGACCTATTACTTAGCACTTACCTAGTGGTACTATAGCCAGACACCCATGCAATGTTCAAATTGAAAGTGCACTTCTTAAAGTTCTGTTAATGTGGTGCAAACAACATAAGAGGAGCTGCCATTGGAAAACATAGGATTTTGATATTTGGCTAAAATTCTTTTATGGGAGTAGAGACCCCCTTTAACATTCTTCTCTAGGAGAAGCATAATTCAATACCAAGGTGAAGCATAAAAAAGATTGGTTTCAAGCAATTTTGATCCATAGAAATCCAAATTCTTCTATAAAAGCTCCATACGGTATTACAAAAAGAATTCTTTTTGGAAACTAATAAAACCATAGTCATTAGGTTGAGAGAAGGTAGCATGAACTGTAGCTTAAGGTGCTAAGAGCCCATTTTCTAATATTTGCCTGAATTAAATAAAAGAGAAAAAAGGGATTTGGATATAATTATTTCCATTTCCTCTCTTCTATTTATATTCTTTCTTAGTTACCTTCACCTTAAAACTCTTATGTTGATCTATATGGCCTAAAATATCTCCTTAGCCAAAAATATCACAACTAATTGACATCATACTCTTTCACAGAATACTCGTGCTTTCATTATGATAGTTGCTGCACGAATGGAAAGATCAGGTGTAGACTATAGAGAAATATCAAAATGACATTTTAGAGGAAGAATCCCTTGGAAGTGAGAGGGAAGGAGTGTCTTATGTGTTGCCTTGTTTGTGGAGATGCAATGGAATATCATCACCTGATCCAATTGCTCCGCACTAGCCAAGTTGGTCAACAACTATTAACTTTTTAGGCAATGCTAAGAGGACCTTCCTATTGGTAACCAACAATTGTGCTTGGGGACGGGAGAGAAGACATCACTTTAGAGTTGGAATTAGATAGGAGAACTGGCAAGTATATCTTGACACTTATGAAAAAAACGATAAGGATTGTATCACAAGCATCAACCTCTATGCTGAAGATGACTGAGGAACTTGGTGACAAAGTTCAAGGTTCTATAACTAGATTTTTCTATGGCATGATTGATCCCTTGGAACATTTCATGGGCTTCATGTGCATGGCGACCTTGCATGAGGTATTTGATACTCAAGTGGCATGTGATACCATGCACCTTGAAGGATGTGGCACTCTAGTTCTTTGGACTCTCAATGAGAAACATTCAATTGTGTAAAATTTTCAAGTGGCCGCTCATAACCTGATTCTTGAGATCCTAGAAACTAAGGAAGAGTTTCTGGACACACTTCAATATCCAACTAGCGAAGCATGAGTCTTTTAAAGATCTACATCATGAGGGTTACAAGAGAAATGCTAAAAGGATACAAGGAAGTTTGCTGTTATTCTTTGGTAGTGGTAGTTTTTAATCGAGAAAAGGACCAAAATGGTCCCCAACTATATCAAATGACCATTTTGCTCTCTCAACTTCTTAAAGAAGAACCAAAATAGTTTTATCATGGGACGATTTTGATTCCTCTTTAAGGAGTTGAGGAACCAAAATAATCCTTTGATATAGTTGAAGATCATTTTGGTCCTTCATAAAGAGTCAAGTAATCATTTTGGTCCTTTTCTCTTTTTAAATCCATGGGTTGGATGAGTGCATATTTAGATAACTTCTTTTTTTTTCATTCATGATCTTCTTATAGAGTGAAGCCAACCGCTCTAACATATACAAGGTAATAGTTATGAGAATCTTATTCAAAATAATATAAGATGTCAACTTTTGGGGTACTCGACACTTCAAACTTAAGACATGCATCTATATCAAATATTTTTGATAAAGTGTGACAAAATTATAAAGATTATTGTCTATTTGAGAAATAAAAAAAAGTAGATAGAGTAATTTCACATAGATTAACAATGAAAATATAACAAAAAAGGATCTTAGAACATCCATAAATTATTTTCTTTAGTTGATAAGAGTGCTTAAATTATGGAGATGGTGACAAAGCTCTTGCTCCAAGTGCATATAAAAAGAAAAAAAAAAAAAAAACAATGGTTAGAATGTGTTGTTTGTTTGAGCAAACAACCTATGGATGATGATGACCCATCTGTGTTGATCGTATAACAAACTTTACTTGAGTTGTAGAAACATCATTGAGGTTGGAGCAACGTCGTCGCTGTGCATTGACATTGCATTTTTTCTTTAAGCAAATGAATCATTGTTGGCTTCATCATCTTTGGATGCACTATTAAATTTTTTAAGAAGGGTGTTAATATGATTGGAAATATGTGTTTAAGAGATTCTTTTATTTGATGGCTATGTTTAATTCCTAAGTGGACCGTGTCAATAAATCCCATTTGCAGTCCTTATTGGATTTTAATTCGTGTTTACATTCCTTTTTGTTGTGCTAACATTAGCACTGGAGTAGTCCTCTTTGCTGGACAGTTTTATCATTTGGTAATTGAAAATGATATGCTTGCTATGATCAGGTGCAACTTAAGTAGAAGATGCTATAGTTGCAGTCTGCTTGAGTTCATAATACGTGTGTTATTGTTTATTCATCGTCATCTCAGGAATGGCCAAGCATAAAGCTTTTATCAGCAACGTTTCCTGCTTTTGTTCTTTTTTTTCAATTACAAATTCAGTTATCTAATGATTGCACTCCATTTTATTTCTGCTTTACCTTAGAAATCCTGCGATCTTAGAACTGTTAGGGTTAATAGCTTCTCTTACCTTTTTTATTGTTTGATATACCAGAATTTATCCTTTTCAAAAGCTTTCAAGCTAGGTTTTAGAACACCTGAGCAACGGAGAGCCTTTGATATAGAATTTGAACAGTGGAAGCACGGAGTGCCACATTCACAAAATGGTAAATCTGCAGTTATTTTAAATTATAGCTACTATTTTGATTTCTTTTTTCTGGTTAATTTTCTATTTGATACACTGCATAATTTCTTTTACCTCCTGATCACAATGATGCATTATTCAAATATATGAAGTGCAAAGAGTTTCCAGTGGACCTGACTGTTAGGGCTGTGCCCTAAAGAAATATTATTGTAATATATTTTCTATGGAAATAAATATTTAAAGACAAGTTTAGCATGTTTCGATATTATCATTTGATATAATATTTTTGTTCCATGATTATTTATACAACCATAATTCAGTATATAATTATATACAAGAGGATTGAATTATGGATAATAATCAAAACAAGTTCATAATTATTAATTATAGTTGGAATCTATGATTAAATATTATTAGTACGGTCCATCAACATTAAGAATGGAATAATCTTATCCGGATTATTCGATATGGAGATATTAAGGATGGAGGTACTTTATATAATATGATTATATAGAACTGGACCAGATAAATTTTGAATTCTCTAATAAATTCTATTTTAATTATAGAGAATTTAAAATTAATCATAAAGATGATCATATATAAAACAATCTTAATCACATTAGTAATATATTAATGATCACCTTTTAATTTTATATTTCATGAAGATAATGATGACTCATCATTAATATTTTCTTAATATTAAAAGATAAAGATAAGATTGATGATAAGTCATGATGTGTCATGATAATTATCATCAAATATCTTTTAATATTAAAAAGATTAAAGATAAGATTGATGATGTGTCATGATAATTATCATTTTAATATTAATTAAAAATGCTTCATGAATACTAAGAGGTGCTTATGAAAAGATGTGAACTTTTCTTATAAATAAGAATTAAGTTCTACATGAAATTGATTGATGATGATACATAATTCCTTCATGAGAGATGGAAGAATATGTATGAGAAGAATGTTGTTCTCATTGTCTTTTCTTTTGAAGGATTAAATTGTGTTTAGAACACAAATTAGATTCAAAAGAAAAAGTGTTCATCAATAATTGATTGATTGTGCCCACTCACTAAAATATATTTTGTGGGGTGATTAGAAGAAGAAGGCTTACGGTCTCAATCAACGTTTTGACGAAGAAGATCTCAAATCTCGATCAATAATTCAGTAAAGTTTTCTTCATTTCATATTATAAAGTTATTTATTAAGAAAATTAATATTGAGAATGTCTTAATTTAATTTTCTAAAAATCATGTTTTTTATTTCCGCATTTTATATTATGATAGAAAAATTCCAACACTGACAAGTGCAGACGTGTCGTTACTGGACAATCTTGGAGTAAGAACTGAAATATATTCCTTGTTAAAACCTCTTTAATTTGGACTCAATCAGCAAATCGAAAGAACCTTGCCCCACATGATTCCATAGGATGCCTTGACTGGCACAAATTATACATACTTGGTTATTCTCTCAAAATTACTTGGCTTTGTGTTCAGAAGGAAATGTAGAAAATGTCCTTTACTGACTTTGAAAGAATGTCTAGTATACATACTGTAACCTTTAACCTATTATGCCAAATCACATTATTACCCTAGCTAGCATTTATATGTCAACATAACTCTTTATTTTGGTTCTTTATTACATTATTGTTATGCCGTGAAATTGAGAATGAGATTAACTTGGATATTGTTGACCGATGCATATGCATGAAAATCATATGAAAAAGCATACAAATTAAGTGAGTCTAAATCAGTTTTAATTGTGATTGTCGGACGCAAAATTACACAAGTTTGATTGAATTCCCTTATAGCTATCAAAATCATCAATGATCGCTCAATTCGCAAATGGACTTTGTCAATGCGTATGGAGCATCCGATTATCAGGAAAGGATCTCTTGTGCTTAATTCGATCGGAAACAGTGAAGATGATGAACAATAGACACGAAATGCAAAATCAGGAATTGAGGCGTTTTGCCTTAGTGAGGCATGGTGTTAGCCTCTAGGTAGATCGAGGCTTAAGCCTCTAAAAAGAAGGTAAAATACTCATAAAATATAAATAATTCATAAAAATGACAAAAATAAAATAAACCATCGATATATTTACTTGATTTTTTATCATAAATATATATAAATATATGAACAATAAATTTAATATTAAATGTTATTATAACATGAAAGTTTGAAAAGAGATTTGAAGTAAACACTCATAATTTAAATATGCTATGAGAATTAGTATTCATGACAGCCTCATTCTCATTTTCATAACCTTCAGAAGAATCCTTTTATGTAAAATTTCTTTCATCCTCAGAGTATGTTTTATTGTCGTCTTCAAAATTTTCTTCAATTACAATATTTTTTTCTTACTCCCTATATTCGTTAATATTGTATTAGATATAATTTAAAGTAAAAAAAACAAAACACGAACAGAATAAAAATAATTTATTATACCTAAATTACTTTTTGTTTTTTTGAAACTTCAACCCATTTGACTTCTTTTGTACGATTACGAAGTAAAAATTGATCTCAATTGAATGGTTCTTTCAATGTTGGCATTGATGTTTGTATTCTCCTCATCATTAAATGTCATTCATTCAGCTTCAATTTCAGATCTTTCACTATTTTTTGGCATTATACATTCATCATCTGATATTATATCATCCATGGCCAAATGATTAATTTCATCATCACCAGTTTTTTGCCTCTGTTATTTAAGGTGTCTATCTTTCATTTTTTTTCCATTTTTATTAACCATAATATAAATTAACTGGGTCATATGTCTTATAGCCAATCAATTCCTTCTCTTTTTATGAATTTTGTTAAATGTGCTCCCATTACACTCATATTTCAGAAGATGAACAAGGCTAAGAACTTTCATTGCTTTAAGTTCAGGCACAGCATCTCCAAATTGTGCACGCCAACATTTTATAATTGAATAACAACTAAATTATTAACATTTATTAAAGTAGAAAGCTTAAACATGAACTTTTAGATTTAAAATTATAAATGAATATAAATTTATCTGAGTGTGGCTTGCAGCTCTAAATCCAAAAATTCCATTCTTCAAATGAAAATTCTTTAGTTGATGTTTTTTTTTTTTTAAAGTTAGTCAGTCTCAAAAACAAGTCTATTGATGCATACATCTAAACCAATCTTAACCTCCTTATTCACATTAAAGTCCTTATCTTCATGAAATTAAGGGTTCAGATAATATGCAAAACCATTCAAGTGCTGTTGTAGTTTTCAATATCACATTTTATTTATAATTTCCCAAATTTTGTTATAGGCAGCTTATTATCTTCCTAAATCTCACACTATTTCTTCTTTTTCATTGTTTATTATTTCGTAGATAAATCTCATTTCTGGGGATTTCTTATCACCAAACATTCTCAATACCTTCACTGTAGGTCCCATTGTCTTCAGAGCATAAATAACATTAAAAAAAAATGTGATATTTGATAGCAATCTTCTTTACTTGCTTTATTTAAAATTTTTTTTTTTCACATTCTTTAGAAGCATACATGGACTCTAAAGGCTGCCATATGTTCTTAAAGCTTTGCTAAGTTAAGTATGCTATGGCAAATTTTGTAATTGCAGGCCGAATACTTTCTTTTTTTATTGAACTTCCTTCTGAAACTGAACACCCAAGAGTAGTTGTAAATAAAATTGCTCACTATTTTTGCTATTAACAATGCATATTTGTTTTGTGGCAATTGTCCATCATCTCATGCATTAAATTAATATAATGAGCAGCACATAAAGTCTAGTAAATATGACTCCTTTTCTCCATTAACAGCTTGCCTACAACCTTATAGACACTTGCATTATCTGTAATAATTTAAACAACCAAGCTTTCTCTCCCACTTACTCAATAACCTCATCAAGCATTTAAAATAATAGTTGTGCATCCTTTATAAAGGCTGATGCATCAACATATTTTAAAAATATTTTCTCCTAAGGATTGTTAACAAAGAATTTTATGATGCTCCTTTGTCGAATATTTGAATAGCCACCTAACATTATGTAACTCCTATCTCAAACCATGCCATATTCACTTCATAAACCATTCTAGTTGTTGCTTTGACCTCCTTATCTAACATCCAAGTTTGCTACTCATACATGCTAGCAAAATCTAGACCTCTACCATAATACCCATTACATCGAAGCATATTAATCCATGAAGGGCTCCTAGCCATGTTGAATGAAATGCTATTCTCATTAAAACACCTTGCAATGTCTAAATATACAGATATACTCTATTGCTGAGTTCCCTCATAGAAGTTGGAGGAACTACTTGAGAGTTAATATTCTCATGTTCATCAACATTCACAATAAATCTATCTAGTGGCCCCGAGTTCCTCTATTAGAAGAAAGAAAAAGATTTTCACTACTTAAACCATCATTTTGGGAACCAAAGTAAGAAATATTCCTAATCATCGCCCCATATTCCTTTGAGCCATTTCTTTTACGGTGGGAACTTATTTTAAATATTCAACATATTCTTTTTTCACTTAATCTGACACTTTTTCATATGCTCCAATATTGACATGTGTGCAAGCCAATTGATCTTCATGTCTTTTGACACCTCCAACAATTTGCTTTTGACAAAAATTACATTGCAAGCAAACATATCCCATCTTTGCATCTTCACCTAACACTTCAACTTGAGTGTCATATTTCTAAGTTAAATTTTTCTTCTTGCGCCACCACCATCCTAATAAAAAAAAAAAAAAATAGCGCTGAACATCATTCGGTAAAAAGAAAAAAGAACATATTAGTAACTCACTCGAATAAGAGTAAAACATTAAATATCCTTAAAAATAAAATAGGCATGAGTAGTAGCTTTAAAAAGCTGAAATCTAAGACTTCATGGAAATTACCATCATTACCGTCATTTTTTTCATGAAAAACCAAACAAACTCCCCTTTATCAGTTGGTACAGGAGGAAGCAATATGGGAGACGGTACACGCATACGGTGGGCTTAGATATTGAGCTTAAGATTGACGAGGCTATAATTCTTAGAAAATTAAAAAAAGAAATTCATTCATTATCTGTTTAGTGACATCTACTTAGTATGGTAAACAGAACAAAGTTAAAAAAATGGCATATTCATGCAAGCAATTAATAAAAGAGACCTTTTATCGAAACAATTAAATTGTAATTGCAGTTGTTCTCAGCAACAAAATAAAGATTTAGCCCTTTGAAGTATGTTATTGTAAATTTTCCAAGGATAGCTCATTTGACAAATTTAAATGCACTGAATCACCTGAGCCTCCAATAGCATACATGCCATGAAACTTTGTTTCTCTATCCAAGTTTTAGTGCCACAAATGGAATAAGCCAGGTTTAATTATAAGCTATTTTCAAATGAATGAAGCCAAACCTGTACTAAGGTTTATGTATGATATATAAGATATTTTAACATGCCTTGGACAAAAATTAGATCAAAGTAATTTTAGGATAATGATAAATGTAGATCAAAGTAACGCTTCTACCTCTATAAATCAATCAATTAAAATCAACCAAAGGTAATTAAAATCAATGATACCAAAATTCATTAAACCTTTCTTTTTATGAGCTAGTTAAGATGTAATGCAAATTGGTCAAATATTCTAGCTATAACAACGTGGATTATCAATAAGAACCTAGCTGATTTTGTAAATGAGCAAAGTAGCCTAATTAGTTGAGAAAAACAAAAAATAAGTTCACTAACTAGGCCACGAAGAAGATGCACACCCCCAACTTTCTGGCTTGCAAATGATGAAGAAGGCAAAGCTTGCCTGAAGTAGAAAGAAGATGGAGCTTGTTCCCTGTCTTCTTATCCCGATCTTGCTAGAGCTTGCGTTGGAATGATAGTGATGGCATGATGACAAAGAAGCTTGAATCGATGGCAAGACAACAACGAAAGACGAAGGCGATCGAAGAAGATGAAGCTTGCTCTCGACCTCCCTATCACGATCCTGCTTGAGCCTTAGTGCAATTATTGGTAACTGGAATGAATGTGTGGGTTGGGTGGGGTCATAATAAAATCAATTATATTTATTAATAATATTATACAACTTAAAAAATATCAACAACAAGCCTTTATCGAACTACGTGAGATTGGTTACATGAATCATTTTTCTCTCTTTTCTCCTATTGATAGTCAAATTCTTATTTAAATCTAATTAAAAAAAGATCATTTTCAATACTTTCATACCATGTCTTTTTAGTTATATATATTCATCTTTTTGAACATTGATTGGATCGAATGAATCTACTCTTCTAACAGAGTCATTGAAATGCCAACATTTTATGTGACCAAACCATCTAAAACGTCTCTCTAATCTTTTATACTACTGGGGCTACTCCAATTTTTTCATGTATATACTCATTTCACATTCTTTCACTGAGTGTAAAGCCACTTATCCGCTCGAGCATCCTCATATTTGCAACATTTAATTTATTGCTTTTCTTTTAATGCCCAACATTTTGAGCTATTGCAAGTCTCATCCCCATCTTATAAAAATTCTCCTTAAGTTTGAGGGATAGTTTTCTATCAGGCAATAGGCCCAATTCATTCCTTAATATCAACCATCTAATTTGAATTCTTCTAATAATATCTCAATCTATTTCACCATCGCTTTGAACAACAGACCTGAGATATCTAAAACGTGCACTCTTTTTAATAACTTAATTACCCAATGTCACAATCCCACAACTAGATTAAGTACTATTAAAATTACATCAATGTATTCGATTTTAGATCTACTCAAATGAAAACCTTTAGGCTGTAAGGTTGATCTCTATAATTCAAAATTTCTTTCATTTCCTTCTCTAGTCTTATCAACGAGGAGAATACATCAACAAAAAACATACACTAGGGTACATACTCTTGCAAATGTCTAGTAAGAATATCCATCACTTAAGAAAGAAGATACGTGCTTAAAGCTAATCCTTGATGTAATTCAACTGAAATTGGAAAATATGTGGTCAATCCAACTTGTGTTTGAACACAAGTAACAACTCCTATTTACATATCCTTATTGATTTGAATATAAGCATTACTAGCTCCTTTTTTTTCTAAAACTTTCCAAAACACTTCTCTTGGAACTTTATTAAATGCTTTCTCTAAATCAATAAATATCATATAGAGATCCTTCATACTTTCTCTATACTTCTCCATCAAACATCTCAGCAAATTTATAACTTCCATAGTAAACCTACTCGACATGAATGTAATTTGATTTTGAGAAACATTAGTATAATGTTGTAGCCTATGCACAATTACTCTCTCCCAAAATTTTAATGTATTACACATTAACTTAATTCTTCTATAATTTGCACACTTGTGTATTGCCTTTATTCTTAAAAATAAGAATCAACATACTCATCTATTCATCTAATATATTTTTAGTCTTCAAAATAATATAAAAAGTTTAGTAAACCAAAAAATTATTTGATCTCATAAGAATTTCTTCACCTCTATTGGAATATTAGATCCCACTATTTTCCCTACTTTATTTTATTTAAAGCATCTCCAACTTTGATTTTATTAATATGACAATAAAAATAAAAATCTCTATTTTCATTTAGGGTGCTAAGTTCATTAAAGTTAATCATATTCTCACAATCTTTATTGAAAAACTTATCAAAAATTATCTCATCCACATATGTTGAATATCCTATTCTATGAAAATCATTTTTTGATCTTCATCTTTAACGCACTTCACTTGAATTAGGTCCTTACTTCTCTTATTTTTTTGCTTGGCTAACTTATATATACATATTTTGCTCTCACCAACATCTAATTTTTTATATAAATTAGTAAAAGCTAAATTCTTTGTATTACATATTATTTTTTTAGACTTCTCGCTGGACCTTCTATATCTTTCTCAAATTTTCAAGCTTTTACATGGAAACTAATTTTTATAACAAAATTTATATTTTTGATGTTTTGTTGTATGTTTTGATGTCATGACCAACTATTTTTACTATTAGATGCCTTTTTCTTTTGATTCTCCACACATATTTTGCAGCATTCTTAATATCACTAGCTATTTTTTCTCACGTAATATTAACATCCTTATAAACAACTCAAATATTGAGATCTTAAAAGTTGCGACTAGGGTTCTCTGATTGGATGGTCTTGTTGCAAACTAATATCATTAAATTATAGTCACGACTAGAATCCGTATGAACCTAGATGGCTAAAAAATTCTTGAGTAGTGAATCATGAAATTGACTTGATATGATATCAAACCCCACCCCCTGTTATTAGCTAAAATTGACATAAATTCGCTCCTTAGACAATCATCCATCATTGTATATAAATTCCCTTGAATGACGCCACCATAGTTGCCGGTAACAACCCAGGATGATGAAACCTTGAGATTTTGTTTTGGGTTCGTCATGATTCCCTCGCTATTTGTTTTATGTTTATGATCGTAAATTTTTAGTTCCTTAGCTAAATTTATTTCTACTTTGTATCAAATACTGAGCATCTAATGACTAATTTTAATTAAAAGCTCTCTCTTATTAATGGGAATGTAGTTAATCATAGAGGCTTGCATCTATGAGCTACATGTAACAAAATCTTAAAGTCCTATTAAAATGAAGGTAATCTCTGGTTAGTGTCTTATCTTTCATCTAGTCTATCTTCTGAAAATGTAGCCTGGAACAAAACCACTTAGGAAGAGCCAAACTTGAATTTCGAAGCCCATGGATTTGCAAATTTATTTGATCTTTATTTTTGTTAGGTAATTTTTCTGTTGCATTGCCAAAATTGATTAGTAGCCAAAATTCTTTTACATAATGTCGGGCTTTGGCCAAATTTGTAGCCAAAATTTTATTACATCAGAGTTTGCCAGAATTTTATTTTGTTATTATGCATCAATCTCATTATTTTGAATGCTTTAGGTTGGGAGTGAGCTGAAGGAATAATAGAATATGGTTACTAGTTGCATGGATGGTTTTTCTTAAATTGCTTCTGTTTGAACCCAAGTTCATAATTAAAAATCTTAAAATTTGAATTGAAATTTGAAATTTTATATTACACATGTTTATTTAAAAAAAAATGTATTATAGCTATAATAATATATAACTTAATCATATTTAATGAAGGTTTACGGAGTTGGATTTTTAGGTTACTGCAATCCTGCTTCTTAATGAATAAATGGATTAATATGAAAAATTTAGTAGCTTAGGGCTCGTTTGGGACGGCGGCACTCTTGCTTTACTTTATAAAAAGTTATGAAATTGTTGTTTGGGGCATCGCGGCAGAACAGCGGCAGAAAAAATTCGCGGCGTGCAATTGCTTCCCGCGACCTTACACTCTCTCCCGCGGTCCGCTGCAGTCCGCTGCTTTCCGGAAAAAAAATGACGAAAATCCCCTTCCAATCCCTTTCAAATGGAGGAACTGATCTCCCCTTCGTTGTTGCCGGCCGCATAAGGTTTCAGCGAGGGCTTGATCCCGAGGTTCTCGAGAACTTCCCGACGCTGGTGTATTCAGACGTGAAGGAGCACAAAATCGGAAAGGGCGCGCTCGAGTGTGCAATCTGCCTGAACGAATTCGAGGATGACGAGACCATCCGCCTCCTCCCCGAGTGCGACCACGTTTTCCATCAGGAGTGTGTAGACGCCTGGCTTGAAACCCACGTCACTTGCCCTGTTTGCAGCGCTAATTACACCTTCTATTCTCCCGATCGTGCATCCAGAATTCCCGCTCGAAACGATGGGGCAATGCTTGCGCTAGCGCCTCCGGCATCAGCTTTACCTCCCGACGCTCCGCCGGCGGATCATGTGGTGATCACGGTGGATGATATGAATGAGAGGAAAGAGGAGATGCGAGAGCTCACGAGGATCGCGAGCAAGGTGAGGGCGAATGGGCCGAGGCGATCCAAGAGGATTTCGAGGTCGCACTCGACTGGGCACTCGATGATGCCGCAAGGAGAGGCGGGTCTCGATCGTTTCAGGTTGCGGTTGCCGGAGAACATGAGGAAGGAGATCATCGCCGCTGGGAAGCTGCACAGGTCGAGAACCTTCGCGGTGACGGTGACTGGGGGTGGTGCCGGCGAGTCCAGTACGTTGCCGTCGCCGTCGCCATTGCCGTCGCAGTCGCCGTCACTATCTGACACTGTTCGTGGATTTTATGGACGTCTGTGCTTGAGATTTTGTTTGCCTGGTAGATTAGCGTTAGTTTTTGCAGGAAATTTTAATTAGATTTTGTTAGGGTTTAATTTGTCTTTGTTTGTTCGCCGATGCTTTTTATCTTCTACTCTAATGGATTCAGCTTGTTTAGGGTTTAATAGTTGATTATCATATACATTTAAAAACACTTAAATTTTTAAAAAATTATATATTTCATCTAAATATATATAAGGGTATGAAGGTAAATTATTCACATACAGCTGCAGCACAACAGTTCTACAGTTACGCTATCCAAACAAAATATAATGATTTATATAAAGCAACTTCAGGAAGCAACTTTCTGTACAACAATTTCACAACCTACTTTACCGACAGCTGCAGCCGTCCCAAACGCACCCTTAGGCATATCTATGAAAGCAAAAGTGAGATTTCATGGCTATATAATTTAAGCAATAGATGATAAAGCCATATGGAGCTTTATATGCAAGGAGGTAATTGAGAATATTAAAAGGAAAAAATAAGAGTGAGGTGTTTCGTTTTGAAATTTTGCTATAGGAAAAGGAGAAAAGAAGAAACCGTGATCATAATTTTTAGCCTTATCCCAACTATTTGGGTTGCGTGAATGATTCCTCATTTTTAATTTGTTTCTATTTAGCGATATTTGAAGAGTTAAATATATTATTCACAAATCATTTTACAAGTTGTCTAAATAATATTTGGTCTACCATCTTCCCCCCTAATCATTTGTTAATAATTTTATCTACTCATTTAATGGGCACATTTTTAATTATTTGTTTTATATATTCAACGAATCTACTTTCAACCACTCCATCTTCAATATATGTCACACTAATAACTCTATTGTAGTTGGTTATTTCTTAAAACATTATGTTTACTCCTCTATTATAAATAGAGAAGTTCTCTAGTGAGTAAGATAAAAAAAGATCTTTCCTCTTCAACATACATGATTGCCTTATGTTAGATAGGCATATTGACTCTTTTTATTGATGGAATGCTATGTTAAATTTTTTGTTATCTATTTATTTTTATGATCGTGTGATACAATCAAGATATCATATTTTACATTTCTCTTATGTGACTTATCATCTTCCTTGTTGTTTGATGAATTTCTCTACTATTTGCTGAAAAATCATGCTGTTTTTTTTTCATCATATTCATGCGGTTGTTTGATCTTTTCAAGATGGTTGTTTGGTCTTCCCCGTGTTGGACTTCGATGTTCTGTTGACTATAAAAAAAAAGAAAACATAACAAAGGAAAAAAAAAATCGAACCGAAGCATCTCTTCGCTGCCTCCGCCGGCCCCATCTCGCGTGGTTTGCCTCCAAACGCAACGACCCTTCGTTCAAACTAAGATAACCGCACACTCATTCCTTTAAAAGGATTGGTAGAAGCGATCGAAAAAAAGACACATCGCTCACCTCGCTCCTTCGATTTCGTCGTTTACTGTTCGACTTCGTTGTTTTCGTAGGAGGCGTCTAGGGTTCGCCTTTCATCTTCTCTTTTCATCGTCGCTGTTTGTCTTCGTTGCTTCGCAGGAGTGCAGAGATTGCACGCATCTCTCCTCCAACTCCTTCGTTGCTGTTCGTCTTCGTTGATTTGCAGGAGGTGGATATTGTGCGCGTCGCTTCTCCGGCTCCCTGTTGTTGTTGCTTTGCAGAAGGTATAGAGGTCACACGAGACGCTTCTTCCGCTCCTTCGACGACTTTCCCTTTCTGTCAAATTGGAAGTTACCACATTCTGATTGGAAGAAAACAACGGGAGCTCTATGGTTGTGAAGGTAACTTTCTACCCTTCACGTGCTTCTTGTTATAAATCCGTCGAACCGAGGGATTTACCCATTGCCGGGATATAACACGTGCATGAAACCCATTTGGTTGGATTTAGCGTAAATTCGACTTAAATCCCACTGTACATCTAATACCAAACTACCCCGAAATGAACCCAATCTTCAAAATTCATACAAGGTAAGCTTCTTTTCTTCGCAGGAAGTGTAGAGAGATTGCACGAGTGGCCACTTCGGCTCCTTTGTTACTATTCGACTAAGCAACTTTAACGACTACCCTTGCAAACCCGATCAAACTCCTCTGTCCCTCTCTGTTTATATGTAATATGTATACATACGTATATAATTATAATTATAATGTTAAAAAAAGAGAAAAAATGATAAAAAAAGAGAAAAAATGATATAAAAAGAAAGGAGAATGAGACTTTCAAACGTATGTCAAAGACATGCACCGTCGACCGTAGGCCCGATTAAGAATGTTCAAATTGAAGACCCGTACCATCGATCTTAGATATGGGCAGATGATTTCAAAGTTCGAAGACCCGTGCCGTGATCTTAAATTCGGGCGGATGGTTTTAAATTTGAAGCCTACTGTGCCATTGATCTTAGATATGGGTGGGATGAAATAAAATTCGAAGACCCAATGCAGTCGATCTTAGATCCTGATGGGATGATTTTAATTCGAAGTCCCCATGTAGTCGATCTCAAATCTTGGTGCGATTGTTTAAATTCAAAGACCTTACGCCGTTGACCTTAGGTTCGGGGAGGAAGAAATTTCAGCAAATGCCGTCCCGATTTCTCCCTCAGTGGGGAGGGGATGCTGGGAGGCTGCCGAAATTTCCTGGAAAATTATATAATTTTTTTTGAAACAATTGGAGAGCAATTTAATTTGGATTTTAATTAATCAATTAATTAATGGATTAAAATTCATTAATTAAAATAAATTGAATTTAAAATTTATTGATTGATTATTTTTTTTAAATCAAGAATAAGTTTAAAATTCAAGAGCATTTTCAGATCCGAGGGCATTTTAAAAAAAATTGAGAGTTTTAAAATTAGAAAGCTTTGAAATCTAAATTTGATTAATTGGTTAATTAATTTATCAATCAATTGAGCAATTATAAAATAAAAATGAAATAAAAAAAGGAGGGGGAAGTTCCATTAATTGACATATATAACATTGTTTCCAACTCACAAACCCTCACAAACTGTACAACCTCTCCAAAACAAAAGCTCTCAAACTTTCCAACTCACATGTACTTTACTGCTCTCCAAATTTTATACAAAACTCCCCACAACAAATTTAAACTCTTTTAAACAAAGACACTCTGCAAGCATTCCAAGATCCCTCTTACACGAGCTCTTGCAGCTACCTGTGGGTTATATCCTCTGCAATTACAAGCCTTGGCTGTTGTAACTACTGGCTACGAACACCTGCAACCAAGCAAATGAAGAATCAATATATTATAAATAAATTGAATGAATGCTGGTAAATCTAAGCTATTGCAAGTATAACAAAAAATGTGGGAAATGTGTAAAAAGAACTATAACAGTACTGAAATAGAGTAACAAACTACTACCGACAATTTTCAAAGGAAATCCGTAAGCCCGTCCTTAGGGGAAAGTTTTAGGTATAAATCGACCTAACCCCTAATTAAAACACCGGCCACTTTTGATAGAAGCCGTAGGCTCGACCTCTGATGAAAATATTTAGGTGATAATACAATCCTAGACCCCTCACTTGGGCATCCTAGTTTATAGAACTTGGTTGTAAGACCCATCACTTGGGCCATTTAATTTGAAGGGTTAGGTCGTAAGACCCATAATTAAGCAACTTCTAAGCTCTGTTTAAAATTGCGCAATTAGAGGCGCGCCTTTGCGCAATTCTGCCCAAAAACGCCTCATAGCCTACGCAATTTTGGGCTTTCAAGAGGCGTACGCCTCACTGGGGCTGAGGCGCGCCTCAGAGGCGCAATTGCGCAACTCATTGTGAGGCGTACGCTGCATCTACTTTCTTATTTTCCACTATTGCTATTATTTTCCTGCTAAAATCCTTAATTTTTCATTTACGCAATTCTATGTTCGTGAGGCTTACGCCTCAGACCGCCTCGAGGCTTACGCCTTGCCTCACGGACGAAAACCGCCTCGAGGCGCAGTTACGCAATTTTAAACCTTGCTTCTAAGGAAGCACTAAGACCTATCCAACTGAAATATTCGGGTTACCTTTAGTAGAGGTCGTAAGTCACACTAACTGGGTTACTTTCAAATGAAAAGTCACAAATCCCTACCCAAATATAATCACACGGACACCTCTTATTGGAAAATCAAGGCAAAAGCTTCAGGAAAGAATTTCATCTTCAAATAATACTTTGAAACACAATAATTATGATACTAATCCTATGTCAAAAGCATATGGAATTTCTATCGTAAGATCTTCTACAAAATACACAAATTCATGAGCATCCTAGTCTATAGAGTTAGGTTGTATGACCTGCTAACGGGCAACTTCTAAGTGAAGTCGTAAGACTCATGTTTTAGGAAAATTGTTAAATAAATAACAATGATCCTAAACCCCAAACAATCAATTCAAACCAATGGATATCTTGGACTAAGAGATTAAACTGTAAGACCCGCTTTTCTAGTAACTTCCTAAGGAAATTATAAGACCTACCCAAACAATTAACGCTCCCAGTCAGCCTTGCTGTAGAGTTAGGTTGTAAGATATTTGGGTAACTCATAAATAGAGTAGTAAGCCCCATTCCAAATCAAATATCCGGGCTATTTTCTACGAAAGTCGTAAGTCCCAACTTAAATCTAAATACCTGAGCTACTTCTTAAAAAAGCCATAAGACCATCTCCAATCCAAACTGCGGGGTTACTTCTAAACGAAGTCATAAATCCCAAATTAAATTAACTCTTGGGTTTTCTAATAGATGTTAACTCCAAAACACCTAACAAAATTAAAACTAAAATTCATATCTAACCACTTCAGTCTATTTGGGATCCATGAGAGGAGGCAACCCATGGCTGTTAATCAGATTCCCTGGACACTATAGTCAATGATTGTTAGTGTTGGTAGACTAGAATCCACGGTATACCCAGGATGACGGAATCATGAGATCTTGATCGGGTTTACCTCCATTTCCCCCCACAATTGAGACTAAATTACCTAAAAATTATTTTATCCTTAATCAAGAGTTCTCTCTTACGTGTTAAGAGAGGTAATTAACTATGAGTGTTTGCGCTCATGAGAAGTAAGGACCCCAAATCTTTAAACCCTGACACTATCCTCAGGGGAAATCAAGTTAATTACAATCTGACTTAAGTGAAATGAAATCCTACGACTGTAAAACGGGATTCATGCATTCGTGCAGTTTTTCTTGAGCCAATATGTTCCCTTCTGGCTCTTCGTTTTCCCCTATAACCCTTTGGTTTCCTTGCTGTTTTTACTGTTGGCTGCTCGTTTTCCCCATTGGCTATTGTGTTGCTTCGGTTTCTTCCCTAGGCGACAGTCCCTTCGGTTTTGGGTAGCTGTCCCTTCGGTTTTTGTGTCCATTAACTGCTGTATTAATGCCTCGTTTTCACCCCAGCTGCTGTCCCTTCGGTCCCTCCTTGCTACGGTTTTCAAGAAATTTTAGTGGTTGTTTTAAAGGTGCATTAACTACATGTACTAATTATCTTTTTCCTTTTTTTCCCTATAAATGGGTATGTTTTGTGGCTGTTTTAGATGAGTTTTGTGATGATTTTTGGAATGAAACCTTTGGGTTTTCAATAGCTTGCGAGCTATCCTTTTTGACCTCCCTGTCTTCTTAAACTTCGTCTCTGACTTCTATCTTTTTTCTTCTCTTCATGGTAACCTTTCCATTGTATCTTTCTTCTCAAAAAGTTGTAAGGTGTCTTTGAGTCGTATTTGTAGGTTGTCGTTGCGTCGTGTTTAAATTATTTGTTATTGTTGTTGTTCCTTTTATTTTAAATTGTAAGATTTTGTTTGTCTATGTTTAAGGAAAGGAAGACTTTTGTTTGAGTTTGCAATACTAGTATTTTTTTTCCATCAATTTGGTTTCAGAGCTTTAGGTTGTAGTGGGTCTTCCTTTCTTTGAGTCTTAAAAAAAGGACAATCATGATGTAATAGAATTTGTTGTTGATGAAAATCAACCATATGTTTTGAAGACAAAATTCCAACAAGCAGATGGATCCCGTCCCAAGGAAGTTCTACAAATCCAATCCAGAATGAGCTATACAAAATTCAGTGTTGGATTTCAATGGTTGTTTGGTCTTCCCAAGATGGTTGTTTGGTCTTTCCTGTGTTGGACTTCGATGTTCCCTCTTGACTCTTTGTTTTCCCCTATAAACCTTCGGTTTCCTTGCTGTTTTTACTGTTGGCTGCTCGTTTTCCCCCATTGGCTGCTGTGTTGCTTCGGTTTCTTCCCCATGCGGCTGTCTCTTCGGTTTTTGTGCCCATTAATTGCTGTATTAATGTCTCGTTTTCCCCCTAGTTGCTGTCCCTTCGGTCCCTGCTTGCTGCAGTTTTCAGGGAATTCTAGTGGTTGTTTTAAAAGTGCATTAACTACATGTACTAATTGTCTTTTTCCTTTTTTTCCCCTATAAATGGGGTTGTTTTATGGCTGTTTTAGATGAGTTTTGCGATGACTTTTGGAATGAAACATTTGGGGTTTCAATAGCTTGCGAGCTATCCTTTTTGACCTCCCTATCTTCTTAAACTTCGTCTCGGACTTCTATCTTCTTTCTTCTCTCCATGGTAACCTTTTCATTGTATCTTTCTTCTCAAAAAGTTGTAAGGTGTCTTTGAGTCGTATTTGTAGGTTGTCGTTGCACCGTGTTTAAATTGTTTGTTGTTGTTGTTCCTTTTATTTTAAATTGTAAGGTTTTGTTTGTCTATGTTTAAGGAAAGGAATACCTTTTTTTTTGAGTTTGCAATACTAGTATTTTTTTTATTGCATCATCGTGCCTACTATTAAGATTGACTATAGTGACCTTAGCACCCTAGATGAAACTAAAGATTTATGTTTTTATCGGCGTATTAGTAAAACTGAAGTTAGAGAGGCTTTATAGAAAATGAAGGGTGGAAAAGCTGTTGGACCGTTGTTGTTGTTGTATCGTGCCTACTATTACTCATATTTTTCTGATTTATATCTAGTACTGGATGACTTGATTGTTCACTTGAGGAGAATATGGTACATTTAAATGTGCAATGTGAATAAATTACGAATATGATATATGTATTATTATGAGTCTTGTGGATATATGAACTCTTGTAAGACAACTTTGAGTTCTCAATAGGAAGAGTACTTGATGTATAATGCATCAAAAGTCTGAATGTTACTGTCTTTGTGGATATGTGGAATTTTGATATGATATCAATTGATTGGATTTTCCCTGCCTCTTTGTCCAACCTGTTCTTGGTGCAATTTACTACGGCGTGGGGATTATGCTAATTGAGTAGTGACATACGTATGGTTTAGATGGTGGCGCTGACCTAGATGTGCACCATCTCTCCTTACTTCCTCTTTTAATTTTATTTATTAATTTTACGAGTTATTTTTGTTAGCCCAAATGTGGTGCTTGTTCTTTTTCCGCATTATATCCAATTTCTCAAAGGTCGAATTGGCCAATTCATTCTATATCTGTTACCTTTTTCCTTTTTTCGCATTCTGGGCTTGGCTGGCCAATCTGAAGGTTATGGATTTCCTTTCTGGTTTGAAGTATGCGTTTATACTTGCATAAAAGCTGTTTCTTTTTTTTTTTATGTTGGTGGGCTTAATTTAGCATTCCTTATCGCTCTCTGAGTAAAATAAGTTCTTGTTTTTATATAGATAAGGCTATTCTCTTGCATGACTTTAGGATATACTGTGATTCTGTGTGGTTATCATGCATCTGTTCATGATGATATGCTGATGGATAAAGATATTTTGTACTTCTCTTTTGTTATTATTATATCAAAATATTTTACAAAATAATGTATGCTGAAGAAGACATGTTTTAGAATTTTTGATGTGAAGCTGAACCTTTTTGTTTTTTAAACTTTTTGCTCCAGGTTTATCTGCAGGACCTATGGAAAATGGATCTATAATTTATTCTACAAGTAAATTTGATAACAAAATAGAAGCTTCTTCTGCCAAAATGTACTTTCATTACTATGGTCAGTTGCTGCATCAGCAAAATATGCTACAAGATTATGTCAGGACAGGTTATGATAAAAAATAATTCCCGATCATATTTCTTCTAGTACTTGTATTGTTATTTTTCTGCAGGTAGTTGTTCCTTCGCTTAGTCCCCAGCTCACTTTGAAATTTCATTCGAAATTGCCATGTACAGGCTATAAACATACTATTGATTTTGGGCATAATTTTACAGGAACCTATTATTCTGCAGTAATTGAAAACTGTATAGACTTTCAGGACCGTGTTGTAGTTGATGTTGGTGCTGGTAGTGGCATACTCTCACTCTTTGCTGCTCAGGTATACCTATAGAATATTTAACTGATAATTATAAGTCGTAGCGAAGCTACGTGTTGTTGTGTTGTTACGTTGATAGTGCTATCTTTCTTCTTGCAAGTGCTTTTAAAGAATATATAACTAATTTGGTCCGCGTCTAGGCTGGTGCCAAACATGTTTATGCTGTAGAGGCATCTGAAATGGCAGATTATGCAAGCAGGCTGGTAGCTGGGAATCCATCACTTGGGGATCGCATTACGGTTTGATTTATTTCCTTTTTTCAGACTATTGCAGTTCAAACTTGTAGCATTATCTTTTTATCTTGGTCGTTGATCTTGTTGTATTTCCTTAACAGGTCATCAAGGGAAAAGTTGAGGAGGTTGAACTACCTGAGAAAGCAGATATTCTTATATCAGAGCCTATGGGTAAATTTTTCTGTGTACTAGATCTTTTGTATCAGTCAACTTTCACAACTGCTAAACTTTTACTATTGTCCTTTTGTATGGATTTTACATTATTATTTTTATTGTTAATTTGAAACTACTTAGTCAATTTTCTCTTAATTATCTTTTCTAGAGTGAATTGCCTTATTGTTGTACAGAAATATGATTTTATGTTACCTTTTTTTTAATTTTCCTTAAAGTAAATGGCATATAGGTTTCTTGTTATATAAATTTGTAGCATGATTTTATTAGGGCCTTGATCTGTTCTCATTTATATTTTACATTTTAATACGCTTTTCCCTCATTGAAACCGACTTTTTACTGTTTTGGTTTGAGTCTGTTAAACTTTTTACACTTTACATGATCTAAGATAGAAAATAGGGAAGTTGCTGTAACCGCCTATGGTTATTCTACTTTGCTCATGTGTGCATTGAGATTTAAGCTTTAGAATACAATTCTTATCACGCATATTTAACTCATGACATGCTCTCAGCATGCTTCCCATGTTCAATTTTCCAAGGCTGGGGATCACATTGGTTCAATTTCCAATAGGTTTTCTTCACTTTGGCTTATGGTGGACTAACCGTCAATTTGGTGCTCAATTGTTTAGAAAAGACCACAAAATATGACAAAAAAGCAATGGCTTGTAAAACTAATTGTATTGGAAAAAATCCAATTAGACATTTGCTATTTAGTCCATGATCTGCCACTTTCTGAGTATGTAGCAGTTTTTGTCTTGTCATGCGAGAGATGAGCTTGCAGAATTGAAGTTGGATGCCTTTGTTTTGGGATAGTATTGCTTCAATTTTCAATCACATGATTTGAGAACATGAATCTACTTCCTTCAATTGATGTCTTCCTTTCTGATCACACAGTAGTTTGTTTTTTTGTCCTGGTTTATGATCTATATAAACAATAAGAAAATTGAATTCCAGAAAGATAAATATCCCAACCTACAATGGCACAATTTTTAGGGAGTGGGCTGTTCGAAAGCTGATTGGAAGGACTGGGATCAGGCTAAGACTGTGACTTCTATCTCTTAAAAGCGTCAGATACCTTACAGTTATCTTTTGAGGTGCTTGTTTAGTGGATGGTTTCAAGGAAACTTTAGCTGGCATCTTCCATTTTTAAAAATCGCTGTTCTTTGAGCTTGAATGATGTTTTCTTTGGACCATTTGTGAGGACACATAGTACAAGGTCTCATGTTGAGAAATCTGTTCACGTGAGGTCAATTCAAAGTTAGATCCTGATTTATTTATTTGTTTATGCAAAATTAAATTCTAAACATGGAGTAAACTCTATCAACTAAAGGTCTTAATCCAAAAGCATCCCTAGTATTTCCACAACACATTACGTACATATTTTGTTGCTTCTTTTTAAGCTATCCTTTGGGGCATTGATGTACTGGATTTAATGTTGTTGCTGGATATAATCAGCTAATGCTTTATGAGATATATTCTTAGGCACATTGTTAGTCAATGAAAGGATGTTGGAGACATATGTCATTGCAAGAGAGAGATTCCTTGTCCCTAATGGGAAAATGTTTCCATCACTAGGAAGGTATGTACTACCACTAAACAACTATTCTTATGCTTGGTATGCTTTTGACACGTGCACTAGCTCATCTATTTTCTTGTTGCATGATTGTGCTTGAATAGATTATGTTTGTACTGTTATTTTCCATGAATTCATTTAGAAATTGAATATAAATTTTGTGTAAGTAGATGTGGCCATTATCTGCTAATGGCTCACGAAGCACATTTTTGGTTTGTATTATCATAAATGTGACCTGAATTTGTGAAACATAATCTCTTGAACCTTCATCATTATCAATGGCCTTATTCCAATTATTTAGTGTTGACCTTTTGAATTCTTTATTTTATTTTATTTTATTTTATTTCTGCCAAGTGCTTAATGACTTTAAATCTATCATTCACAAATCATTTATTTCTAAGCATTTAGTTATTTTTTTTCTTAATTTTCTTCGTATTTTAGTTGATTCATATCAATTAGAATTATATCATTTGGCAAAGACATTTGCAGGAGGATGTACCTTGGTGTATGCTTTTTGCTGATGATATTCTTCTTGTTGATAAGACTAGAGAGGGTGATGTAGAATTAAATGCCTTTAAATGGATGGAATAATAATTTGCACGATTTCTTGAATTAAGCAAGTAAGATTAAAACTGTTAGCAATCAAAATGACAATAGAAAACAAGAAAGGGGTGCCTACGTTTAGGCTAATCCACTTGCCAAGCACTTGGAAAATCAAAATAAGCTAGAAATTCAACAACATGCAAAGTAAATAGTTTTCAACAAAATCCCTAATCTAACAATAAGATTAAAAATATAGAAAACACGCTCAATCCTACGTTTACTAAGCTTAGGCATAAAATGAAGCACGACTCCTTGTGATTTTTCATCACCTACAAGGTCAAGGGATTATGAATGTAATTAAAAGGGGAAGAAGTTCACCTTTGTCGAAACCCATAAACAAGTAGGCGAGATGGTGAAGAAGTTCGTCATAGCTTCCCTTGAAGGTTCAACTAGAGAGGAAGAAGTCTCTCCCAAGCGTTAAAGTGTTGACGATGATGATCCTTTGCTAAGGGAGAGGTTTCTTTCAAGAATCCATGTAGGAAGTGGCAATAGAGGGTGGCCGGCCAAGGAGGAAGACTAAGGGAAGATTGAGTTCAGATTTTGAGAAGAGTATTATGGAGGGAAAGCTGAAATTAATTTCCATCAATTCTTTAGGCTTGGAAATAACTTAAATAAAATATGGAGGTAAGAGAGAGGGGACGGGTTGAGTAGAACAACATTTGGTATTTAATTCAAAGGGGGAAAGCTTAATATTGGGAAGGAATTAAGTGGGTGGGCCCTTGGGAGTTTCGGCCATGCAAGAGGGAGGGGGTTGTGTGTCTGGATTCAATGTTTTTGGAGTTAGGGCATTAATTACTCAATTAATTCAGATTTGAATTAATTGATTTATTTAATGGCCTTTCCAAATATAGAATTAATGAAATATGAAGGATTTGAGATTTAAATTTGAGTTATTTCAAAATTCAAACTCCTTCCATAGATAGTTGGAGTTAAATAAGGAAAGTGGAGCTTTAGGAAACAAATCCAAATTTAAATGGGGGGGGGGGGCGGAGGCTTAATGGGATAGAGAGAGAATTAATGAGATAGGGAGAGAAATTAAGGAAGCTATTAATGCTTCCTTGACTCATGGACTTAAATTTAGGATGAAATATTTCATCATAATTTAACTTTAATTCAATAGGCAAGGATTTGTAAAGTTTCCTAAAATAGGAGTGATATTTTAGGTAACTTTTCAAATTCAAATAATTTGAATTTGATAAGTTAATGAGTCACCTAAATTAATCAACCCAATTAGGAAAGGAATCAATGTAAGCAAGGATGGAGGGAAAAATCTAAGGGGAAAGTGGCGGCTTGGGCTTGGGTTCAGTTGGATGAAGGACCGGCGGTGGGGTGGGGTTTTGGGTAAGCCGGCCGGTGGTTGTTGTGGGGGAAGGAGGATGTTGGCTTGAGGTGGTGGTGGTGGGAGATGTTGGCCGGTGGCAGGGTGGGGTGGCTAGGAAATCCGACGGCTAGGAGGAAGAGAGATTGAAAGAAAAGAACGATAAAACAAACCACGAACCCGACCGTTTCCAAGGTTGGTGGGTGATATGTTTTCCCTTTCCTAGGGATCTCGCTCTCTCTCCAAGTACTCTCAAGATCTCTCAAGAACTCAAGCAACAACACAAATTTTTTTATCATTCAATCATTAACTTTCAAAGAGAAACATAGGGGCTATAAATAACCTCATATATATGACTCAAAATAAGAAAGATGACAATGCCCTCAGTGCTTACACACGACCTCCCTTAAGGGGTAAACACGGGAAAAACAAATACAACATAAATAACAAGAGATAAATAATATAATAAAAACAAATACATGAAATGACTCAAAAATACATCGACTCGATCGTGACTGTAGATTGACGACCACGCCTCTGATACACTTTTCATGCTCTGATGTCCCCATCAGAGGGAGTTGAAGGTAAACTTGAATTATGGAGGTCAACTTTAGAGTCTAAAGGTTTTCGCTTGAGTAGATCTCAAACTGAATATATGGAGTGTAATTTTAGTAGCAATAGACCTAGTGAGGGGATTGTGACTTTGGGTGATCAAGTCATTAATAAGAGTACACGTTTTTGATATCTTGGATCTATTGTTCAGAGTGATGGTGAAATTGATGGGGATATTATCAGCAGAATTCAAGTTGGATGGTTGAAGTGGAGCCGTGGAGGAATGCATCGGGCTTGTTGTGTGATAGAAAAGTCCCCCTCAAACTTAAAGGAAAATTCTATAAGATGGTGGTGAGACTTAGGTGGATGAGTTGCTTGACCCTTAGAGATAGGATACGAAATGAGCATATACGTGAAAAGGTTGGAGTAGTTCCAGTGGAAGATAAGATTAGAGAGAGTCGCCTTAGATGGTTTGGTCACATTAAACGGAGGCCTTCCGATGATCCAGTTAGGAAAGTTGAGGTATTAAATTTGACTTATGTTAAGAAAGGTAGAAGGACCTAAAAAGACTTGGTTAGAAAATATTAGAAATGATCCTTCTTTATTAGATTTAAATGAGAATTTGACTTTTAACCGGACACAATGGAGAAAAAGGATTCATGTAGCCGACCCCACGTAGTGGGATAAAGGCTTGATATTGTTTTGTTATTGTTGACAAAGACCAGGTCATCCACTTTGAACATTATTTGTAAGCATTTCCTTTTAACTAATATAAAACTTTATGTTCTCAGTATTAATATTTGACTATTTGGCATCATCCTATAAGAAATGACTAATATTTTGTCACTCTATGACTACATAAAATACTTGTCATTATTATATCATTACAAATCTTTATACTTTCAATATATTTTGAAATACACATTTCTTTCTTTTCTTATTTAACACGATCATATGACTTCTCAAGTTCATTAAAAAAATTATATGAAAGTCCTTTCTATATATTTTTTACTTCTTCATTAATTAACTTGACATATTACTCATCTTCATAGTATATATTTTTGGCTTGAATGCCAATTGATTCTTCAAAAATTGGCCCATTTTTTTCAAGTTTATATTTAATTAGTGTCGCCCATAAATTTATTGTATGAAATATAAGTTTAACTTATATATATAATTTTCACAATCTTGAACATCTCCTTTAGTTTTGAATATTGGTAGCAAAATTCTTTTTCCTTCGATCATTGGCATTCTTTTGGTCTTCAAAATTACAATAAAAAGATTTGTTAACCAAATAACATTTGCAGCATGCATAACTCTCAATCTCAATATGTATCACACATGGCCATAAAGCTTTATGCATTTCTTTAGAGCTAATTCTATTTCATTTTTTCAATCAATTTATTAAGTACATTTTTTTGTTCATTATACTCCCCCAAATTAATTTCTTCCATTTACTCTTTAATAAATTTTCAAAGTAGTATTTTAATCTTTTCTTGATGCCTTATCTTTAAAGTTTAAATTAGGTATCTCTTCTTTTCTTATGCATTTAACAGGAACAAATCTCTTATCTTGTCTTCTCTAGTTATAAATAATTATATTTTGGTATTAAAAGAATAATAATTTTAACATAAAAAGCATGTGAAAAAACTGTTAGATGATTAATTGCTCACAAACTATACAATATACAATTTGGAGTTGAAGTGGGGGGGTCATGAAGAGAGAAAGAAGTTCAAATCCTTGAAACTTGCATTGAAAAAAGTGAACGTTGATGCCAAGTTTACATTACCTAACTTCTGTAACGCGTCAATATGATGAGAATATCACTGCACTCCAAAGTAGACAAAGTTTAATTAGTGCCACGTCACTTTGCATTGGCACTTTATAAGGCCTTCATTATAGTTATGAGACACTTATATTTTTGTTTCTGCACTATTATTTCTTTAAATACCTTATTTCTAATGCTTATATATAGTGCTTTTAGGAAAAAAATAAGTTATTTTAATCAAGTTCAAGTAGATTCACTCATTAATATACTTGATTGTTTATATGTACTAAGATTGTTGAAATATCTTTATGCAACTCATGAAAAACTTTTTTTTTTTATTTGAAATGCCATCATATGCATTCGGAATTGTGTATATACATATACGCCAAGTAAATGATTAAAATGGTCCATAGAAATTTTATATTTGTTTATTTTGCCCTTGACTTTTCTAAGTTTTAAATTTAGTCTCTCAACTCACTAAAATTTGAAACATTCTTTTACTATCAATTTTGTCTTTTCTTTGGACAAAAAATAGAGAGAAGTTTTCCTTGATGATATTTCAAACTTTTTAGGGCTAATCCTATTAGTTTGAACTCATATTAAGAAGTGAGTTTGACCCTAAAAAATCCTAAATGCTCTCATGGAAAGCTTCCTCCGCTAGTTTCTATCCAAAAAATTGTAAAGTTGATGGTAGGACCGAATTTGTTTAGATTTGGCGACTTAAAGGACTACATTGAACAACTTGAGATGTCTGGGATTAAAATATGCATTTTAAAATCTAGAAATCATTTTGATGATTTATTATATATATGTCAATGTTAGGAGATTTGAATAAACATATGATGCTACATCACTGCTACATTGGTAGTGATATGACTAATTCTAAAGGCATATGACTTAAAAAAGAAGTCACTAAATTGTGGCGATTAACATTTATCTTAGGCTTGATGCTTTGGTAGAGTTATTCTAAGATGCTGGTGAAATTCTCTCAGTTTGTGCCAAGCTTGAGTGCATAGGCATTGAGTTGTTGCTTCAATATTAAGTTAGATTTTTTATCCAAGTTTAAATATAGTGTATGATTGAACTTTTTGTGTGGAGCTTACGGTAAAACATGCTTGATATTTTGTGTTTGGTTTGGGTTGAATTTTTTTACTTATATTTTGTACGGTTCCATTTTCTATGATGATATTCTTCTTGTTGATAAGACTAGAGAGGGGACTAGAGAGGGAGTTGAAGGTAAACTCGAATTATGGAGGTCAACCTCAGAATCTAAAGGTTTTCGTTTGAGTAGATTTAAAGCCGAATACATGGAGTATAATTTTAATAGTAATAGATGTAGTGGGGGTTTTGTGTCTTTGAACGATCAAGTTATTAATAAGTGTACTCGTTTTAGATATCTTGGGTATATTGTTGAGAGTGATGGTGAAATAGATGGGGCTATTATTAGTAGAATTCAAGTTGGATGGTTGAAGTGGAGGAATGCTTTGGGTTTATTGTGTGATAGAAAAGTACCACTCAAACTTAAGGGTAAATTTTATAAGATGGTGGTGAGACCTGCAATGCTTTATGGCGCAGAATGTTAACCATTAAAAGAGAAGCATAATATTAAGTTAAGTGTTGCTGAGATGAGTATGCTCAGGTCGATGAGTGGATTTACTCTTAGAGATATGATACGAATCGAGCATATTTGTGAAAAGTTTGGAGTAACTCTAGTGACATATAAGATTAGAGAGAGTCACCTTAGATGGTTTAGTCATGTAAAACGGTAGCTTTCCGATGACTCTGTTAGGAGAGTAGATTTATTAGATTTGGCCTATGTTAAGAAATGTAGAGGTAGATCTAAAAAGACTTGGTTAGAAAATATTAGAAATGACCTTTCTTTATTAGATTTAAATGAGAATTTAACTCTTATCATGACACAATGGAGAAAAAAGATTCATGTAGCCGACCCCACATAGTGGGATAAATGCTTGATGTTGTTGTTGTTTAGATATAACAGTTTTTGGATTGGCATCTAACTCATCCAAAAGTTTGCTCTTGTAGGATTCATGTGGCACCTTTCAGTGATGAATATCTTTTTGTTGAAATTGCAAATAAGGTAATTGAAATTTATTGCAAATTTTGTATGATTCTTGGTTAAATTTCTGCCGTTTCGTTGTATTTCACTAGTTCATTGCAATCATGGTTTCAGGTTTCATTGTATTAGAAATCAGAGATATAGTTAATATTTTTATTCAGGATTTGTATCCAGTCTAATTTCTTCCTTCCTTTTTTTGTGTGTTCCATTAATTCATGGCAATATTGGTATCATTTTTCATTGTCTTAGAAATGGTGCATTAATTAACTTTTACATAGTATTTATATTGGACTAAGGGAACAGTTTATAATTTGTGATATTTTGCTTTTTAAACCAAGTTTTATTCTATCCATCAAATCCCCCGGATTAAAAGGAAAAAATGGCACCCTCACAGTTTCCCTCTTCATTAATCCCCAGAAATGAGGCCTTTTCCACAAATGTACTCTCTTTTCTTAATGCGGGTGCTATCGAGGATTTTGATAGTCCGTGTCTGGGTATTTTAATTGCAGTGTGAGTTCCTCTAGAATTTTGCCATTTGCCATTGATTGGTACTTTATGTTCATTGAATTTGTTCAGTCAACATTTTGTTTTGTGGCAACCCTTTGAGATCAATCTTCATCAACCTTATATCCAAAGTTCCAAACTCTTTATAGTCGTCATACTTCAATCATTTAATGAGTTCTACATGAGGTGTTAAAATAGAAATCTTTTGGATGTTATTTAGCCAAAAAACTAATTAATTCTTAAAATAATTTCAGGCTCTTTTCTGGCAGCAACAGAACTTCTATGGGGTTGATTTAACTCCATTGTACGGATCTGCATTTCAAGGATATTTCTCGCAGGTTTTTCCCTTCTTTGGATATTTTGTTTGATTATTTGTATAAACTCTACTAGTTTGCGGAATCATATGGTAAGGCCTTAAGAATTGTTGTCATTGTTTTCTATTTTCTATTTTATGAGAAAAAATGTACATCAATTTTATTGTCTGATGATGAGGCACCAATATTTCAAATCCTTCTTGCGTTGTATATAGAGACATTTCCGCCCATCCCGAGATGCATCTTACATTTTAGCCATCTCATCAATTTTTTTTCCAAAATTAGAGATGAATAATTATGGAACATGCTGATTGCGACATGTTATGGTGGTGAACTGTAATTTTTTTTTGGGTAAGCCAACTTTTTAATTGAAATTAATTTCAATGTTGGTGAATTTGCTATTGAATATGCCATTGGTGTTTGTGGTATGATGATAACACTGCAAACATCAAGGTTTCCACATTTGTGTTGAATTATTATTATTTATAAAAAAATACCACACGACTTACTCACTTCGCCCATTCACACATGATCTAGTTACCCTAAGCTCTCCCTCTCACAATCTCTCACAATCTTCCTCATTCTTCCACTCTTTTATCCACGAAATCGCACAATAGTATGATACAATCTCTCTCTCTCTCTCCCTCTCATCTCTCAACCTCTGATTCAACTTAAAATTCTCAAACCCTTTTTCTCTTATGAGAAAATTACAGTACAACTCCTTTCTCACATTCCCTCTTCTTCGCATAGATTGCACTCTAGCTTTCGCGAACTCCTCACATCACTGAACCTGACTTGTTTACTCGATCCCTCCTTGCACAAGCTTCCCTCAATCCTGCCTCAATCGATGCTCTCTAGCTTCCTTTCTCTTCTCACGTGCATAGCCTTTTCACTCTTAAATAAAACACTTGACCGTGAAAAAGTCATGTGGGAGCTGGAGAAGGCTCGACCAAACTATAAATGTGCAAGGAAGAAAAGTAGCTCATGCGATTTGCAAATTTAAGTTAAATATGCCCGTAATTTCTAAATTGAGGCTTTAGGTAAAACAGGGATGCTCAAAATTTAAGATTTTGCAGGATTTTAAGTTGTCATTTTTGTTGTTTAGCAAAATTTAAGTTAAACCTTGCTTCAATCCTACTGCAAGCATCCCCTTTCCCCCTCTCCTCTCACACTCTCTATTCTTCCCTCAATGTTTCTCTCTCTCTACTCTCCTCTATCACACACTCTCTCCACCCATGATACCTCTCTCTCTCTCTCTCTCTCTCTCTCTCTCTCTCTCTCTCTCTATTTCTCTAAAAAAGGCAAAAAAAAAAAAAGAAATTCCATAAAGGAAGAAAAAATTAAACAAAGGGAGATAGGAAAAGTGTGTAGCGTTGCTCTTATCGCAAAAGTTCCCTTGCTGTCGGTATTATCATTGCCACCAACTGGAAGGTGTAATGCAAGAGCTGAAAAAGTTTAAATACATGTGTGTTATTCAAATGGGATGAGGACTATGCAAAACAATTACTTGGAATCATTATTCCAATCCATTGATGAAATATTGTGTGCATTTGGTGCAAAAATTGAAGGCATATGCATGCTTTTTTAAGCATAGTGGGTTTGAAGAACCTTGACCATGACATCATAAATATTGACCTTGCACACTTTTTTTAAGCATTTTAGGAAATTCTAACATTTCTTATAGAAGCCCCTACACAGGGGAGATATTAAGAGATTGTCAAAATTTTTTAGATTTAATTAACTTAAAAGCAAAAGTACAAGAATGACCCTGGATAGAAGCAATGAAAAAATGAAGATAAATGAAAACAAAGTTATAAAATGAGCACTCTAAATGCAATTTTTGTTAGCTCACAACTAGGATTGAGCACTGAGCCTCACTAATGAGCATGGATATGACCTCATTGAACACTAAGAACCCCTTTGAATTGTGAACAAAATGCATGTAAGCCAAAGTTGCTTTGAATGCACGGTAAAAATACAACTTGCAAGATTTGCTTTTGAATCCCCCATAGCCACTTGCAAGCGGACAAAAGATGTTCTTTAAAAATTCTAAAGTGAAAAGTTGCACGCAGTCTAAATGACAAAATTTTCATTCATTAAATTATTTTTCAAATCATGTACACATTACAAGACAGCTCTCAAATTCAATTATGACATCTCAGAGAGCATGCAAAAAGCCTTTAGACTCTAAGGTTGACCTCCATAATTCAAGTTTACCTTCAACTCTCTCTCTAGTCTTATCAACAAGAAGAATATCATCAACAAAAAACATACGCCAGGGTACAATCTCTTGCAAATGTCTTGTGAGAACATCCATGAATAAAGTAAAAATATATGAGCTTAAGGCTATCCTTGATGCAATCAAACAAAAATAAGAAAATACTTGGTCAAATCACCTTGTGTTTAAACACAAGTAACAGCTCCTGCATATATATGCTTAATGAATTGAATATAAACATTATTAACCCCTTATGTAGAACTCTCCATAGCACTTCTCTTGGAACTTTATTATAAGCTTTCTCTAAATCAATAAAATCATATGTAGATCCTCCTTGTTCTTTCTATACTTCTCCATCAAACCTCTCAATAAATGTATAGCTTTCATAATAGACCTACCTGGCATGAATCCAAATTAATTTTGAGAAACATTAGTGTCACGCCGCAACCTATGCTCCATAACTCTCTCCCATAGTTTTAACACATTAACTTAATTCCTCAATAATTCACACAATCTTGTGCATCACCTTTATTCCTAAAAATAGGAATCAACACACTCATTCTCCACTCATCTTATATCTTTTTATTCTTTAAAATAATATTAAAAAGTTTAGTAAGCTAAGAAATTCCTTCATCTCCTAAGCATTTCCACCTCGATTGGAATATCATTAGGTCCAACAGCTTTTCCACACTTCAAAGCCTCTTTAACTTTGGTTTTACTAATACCCGATATAAAAACAAAAATATTTATTTTCATTTAGGGTGCTAAGGTCACTAAAGTCAGTCGTATTCTCACAATATTCATTGAAATGTTTAGATAAATATCTACACTACATTACATGGCTACAAGCAAAAGCTACAAAACTGAAAATTTAACTAGCAACGACTGTTCAAAAATCAAAATAGTAAAATACCTATCAACTCAAATATGATCCTGAACTGTTAATTAACAGCCTGATTCCCTTTTCCAGACACTAAAACTCACAAGCAACCAACAGTGAGCCAAAATAGCTCAGCAGATCACACAAGCCAATCTAAATTTTCAAATTCTTTTTTATTAAAATTTTGTTGAATATTTAAAAACAATTAAATAAATCATTGATTATACTGAACAAAAGCATAGCAATTATCCAATTTATATCACATAAATGTTGAACATATAAATCATTAAGTAATAATATCACATAGTAATTCATATTACATATCCCGGTCCCATAAAAAATCTCAAAGGATTCTGGCCCCTTATATCTCCCTTTTATGCTTATAAAATTGAACATACCCGTAGGCACCAGAACATGTCTTATAAGCACCCTAATAATTTCTGACAGAGACAGAACCTCAAAGGATTCTTGCTCCTTATAACTCCCAATTGATGATTTTCAATCATATAAACATATATTTCATCACAGAAGCATGTATTTCATTACATTGTAATAGTTAAAATAAAATTAAATACATGTTAGAATTTCACAGTATTGTATGACAAAAGATAGCTAAACTTTCTATAGAGCAAATTTTCACAATGTCAAAATGTAACCAAATTATAAAAGAATGTGTAAAACACTATTTCAAGACATTTATTGAACTATAACGTTATTTTTTAGTGTTTAGATTATTTTTTGTTCAATTAAAATTGCATTTTCAAAATACAAGGTATAAAATTTTTAGAAAATACTCAGAATGTTCATAATCATGTTCTCTATAATATATGAAAAGTTCAGCGATAAAAAATTTACTGGTTTAAAGTCATACAAGTTTTTCGCTAGCAGAAATACAATTTTAATTCAAAAATTCAAAAAATTTTCGTATATTTGAAATTGAGATAGGCATAAGGTGACCTACCTCGATCAGACAACTTTCTCAACAGGATGACGACTGAAAATGGCTCAAAGCAGTTCAAAACGTGAATTTTCTCTCAAACCCCTCTTTTTCTATCTCCTGCTTGCCGGATGCTCAAATGCAAATGATCGGATTAAATGGAATATTTTAATATTTAATATGTTGATAATGACTTAGCGCCGCGACGCTCAAATCAGAGCTTTACGACGCTAAAAAATCTGTAACAATCCGAGAGCTGGCGTCGCAATGCCACTTTCTGGCACCTTGGCTGAGTGCAGTGCTGCTGCGCTCGAACACCCACCCCCGCTGCGCTCTAAAAGTCACATTCTCAAATTTTGTCTAAATTCACACACAACCCTTGGGATACATTCTAGAGCACACCCAATCAATTTCTTGCATTAAATATTCCCAAAGATGTGCAAATAGTTGAAAAACTCAAAAGTTCAAAATCTTACCTTTTTCCAATTGAGTCGGAACTAGCGAAACTGAATGCTGAACCTGTAGGTGTTACACATGGACTACATTCTTTGCCAACATCTGTCCATGATGTGAGAACCCTTGCCTATTTAACACTGCAACTGAGCGTCGGTGCAACAGCCCTTGCACACTTCTAATTGTATTCAGGCCATACAGCGCGTCGCTTCTAGGGAAGACCATCGCATTAACATAATGTATTAAATGATTCATGTCATGATTATTCAACAAGTTTTACGTTGGCTGTCGACTATCTGATACAACCCTCCACTTTTCTCATCCAAGACTTGGGACATGGCAATGACATCATTAATAATATTGATTTATTATAGATGAAAAAAGTAAACTGTGAATTGGAGTGGAGATATTCAATCTAAAGACATGGTAACAATAGGACAAGCTAAATGAGCAATCATTTTGGCTAAAAGTACAATCATATCTTTAGACGATTGAAAAAGATGGATGGTGATACTTAGGGGTGTAAATAAGTTAAGTCAAGCTCGAGTCACCCTTAACTTGAGCTTGATTAATTAATCGAGTTTGAGTTTGAGCTCGAGCTTTATTCTATGAGTTCAAGCGGACTTGTTTATTGTGAAATAGAAAAAATAATTATGATTGAAGAAATTTTTAATTTTTATAGTAAAAGGATGTAAATAATGAGAAATTAGAAGATAAATAATAAGGAATAACTTAATATAAGAAATTGAGATTTAATTTTTTAATTTTTTTTTTTAACAACTTTATACTTAAAATCTTGTATGCTAATATATTTAAGTGCGTTTATATTATATTTTTAAACGAGTTAGCTTCCGAGCTAACAAGTCGAGTTAGGGCTGGCTTAGGCTTGACTCATTAACTTATCGAGCTTGAGTTGGCTTGACTCATTCACACCTATGGCAACGCTTTCTCTTTTCTCTTGGGAAGAATTAAAAGAAACATCAATAACTTGTGGAAGAAAATGCAAGATTCTTCAAAGAATCGAAGATCTTTGAAGAATCTCTCATTATAAATGATGTTGAAACCTATTACTTAAATAATTTTGGAGTCCTTTTTTTAGAAAAGAAGATAAACAAGTCATCTATTTTAGCCTTACCCAAAATTAGAAGGCCTTTCTATTTTGAAGCTTATTCATCGAGTTTTACCAATCAGACTCTTTCTGAAAGATGAGTGATCAGCATATTCTCTTGCTTATAAAAAACACGGGAAAAAAAAGGGCAGCAAAGGATAGCGTTAGGAACATCACTTTTTTAGTGGTACAATTAATAATAAGAACCAACTCTTTCCAAACCTTCATTTAGATTCACAGGTTTTAATTGATTTTGTAAAAGAGGATGCATGATCCAAAGATCTACAACATGTTAATTTTTATTTGTATATTTCATAATGATCTTTGACTTTCCCCCATTTTCTTCTTTAGGAAGAGTTATATTTATGTATGCTTTAATTTGAAATGTCTGTCTTTTAATTAATATTTTCATGTTTTTTTTAAGGGGAGCCCCTTTATCTATTTGTGACTCCCCACTAAACACTCCACCTCCACTCCTATATAAGGATGCCCAGACCATAGGGCTTATGAATGGTTGGAGTTTGTTGTCCTCTTTTGAATAAAGAAAAGCTTGCTTGTTTCAAAATTTCATTTCTCTTGTATTACGTGTGACTGCAATGAATTTTTCTTCCAACTGATATCTCGGCTGCTGTTCTTCCTCTCTTAACCAAAAAACATCAAGCTGTTGTTTTTGGGTGCATGCCAGCATTCTTGGAAGAGTTCTCTCTTTATCTCCAAATTCTCCTTCCCATTGTACCCATGGACCTCTTGACTTCTTCTCATTTCATATATGAATTACTTGGGGAGAAGAGAAAGATGAGATAAATGTACAATTATAAAAGGGGTTTCAAGGTGTTTGCATGTCTAGTGCTTAAGTGAGGTCTTTTAAATTCAGGTGAGAGCTAGTCAAGAGATCCAAATTTCAATGAAAGACCGACACCTTTTAAATTCAGGGTGAGAGCTGGTCAAGAGACCCAAATTCCAACGAAAGACTGAGGGACCAAGAACTATTTTGCACTTACGTTGGAGGATTTTTATCCAAAAAACCTCAAGTATTATCATATCACCTAGCTAGCTGATAATAATTCGTCAAACCAAGTCGAAATCATTTGGACCTTAAATCAAGTAGTCTGGTGTCCACAAATTTAGCACGATGCACTAGATTTTGTCTGAGGGTTGACATGCCAATATGAGTTTGCTTGGCTCAATCAAACATTGTCTAAGCAAGCACCTACTCAAATTTTTTGAGTCATTTTGAGGTGTACTTCATGTGAAAAACTCTATGCTTGATTGGATGGTATTCTAAATCTCAACAATTCTAAACTTAAAAAAATTTGCTAGATTAGTTATTTAAAATATTAATTTTCTTGTTAATAGAGTTTCTTGATTTGCAGCCCCAATTTATGGCTGTTTCCTTTCCCACAAATATTATTAACATGTTTCTTTTATTTTTGAAATGAAGACAAAAAAGACACAAACCATAACATTTGCAAACCAAAAAACGGTGGTGCTAAGCATAGCTTAAATAAAAGGGTGTTGTTTTATTTGATGAATTTTAACTTTGTCTTCCTTTTTTTTTGGGAGGAAAAGGGCAATGACATCTGAGTTATGAAGAACACTTCGGTATGCCTATGAAAACATTACGTTTGTGTTCCTTTAATAATGAAATGTTATATCTTTTCACTGACCTATTAAAATGATTTTGACAGTAACTGTCATTGAGGACCTAAGTATTGGCCTTATATTTTTGAATAGGGTTCAGTACAATATGCTGGCTACAGTTGATAGCCTGGACAGTTTGTTGATGGAATTAATGTTTTTTTGCTTTATCACGCAGCCTGTCGTTGATGCATTTGATCCAAGGCTTTTGGTCTCTCCACCTTCATTCCATACATTGGACTTCATTTCTATCAAGGTAACTGCCCGACTAATAAACAACAACCAATATAAATTATTGGCCTTTTAATGTTATGAGAAACGCTTTTGGATGCACTGTCTTAATACTTGCTTTCTTCTGTTTTTCAGACTGTTTTGACTCCTTTACTCCTTTACGCATGCTTCTGTATATTCTAGCTATTTGTAATGGGTCATTCTGCTTGTATTTTAGCTAATATTTTCGTCAATTGTGTTTTTTTTTTCTTTTCCATTATGTTTACTGATAATAAAGTAAAATATAGAGCTTTTAGATGATATATCAATATTAAATTTTCATTATAGTTGTTGGTACCTCTGCTGAATAACGATCTCATGAGATTATGCTTCATTCTCCAGGAGGAGGAGCTATACGAAATTGACATTCCACTAAGTTTCACAGCTTCTGTAGGCACAAGAGTGCATGGGCTGGCGTGTTGGTTTGATGTCTTGTTCAATGGAAGGTATGTTCTTTAATATTTAGCTTTCAGGAGACGTATCACCTTCCTTTTTTATCTATTCTTTATTAAACATATTTTTTTTTCCCTTTACCTGAGCATGTTCTTTTGTTTTACTCTCATGCAACAATCACCTTGCAAATTTTCTTTGTATAAATTGATCTGTGTTTGGAGGGAGGATTGACTGATGCTTATTGATGTAGTGGATCAGTGAAAGAAAATGATATGTTAAAAGAGATACACAAAACCAGGGAACAACCAAGCTCAAAGTCTTAAAATCATAATATATTTTTCATACACGCCTCTTCCTTACAACTAGTATATATAAATATAATAGAAGATTCTAGAAAACTAGATATACTAGTCCTAAGGTAGGCTTTAACTAAAATGTTCCATATCAAGCTTCCCTTGCATCAAAAGAACTCGACTTTGTCGAGGCGTGTCATTAGAAGGGAGATTGATGTAGATATCAAAATCAGTCCTTCTGGGTCAAAAATTTTGAATGTAGACATCAAAATAGCCGCATGAAGATGCTTTTCCCAATCCAAGTGATGAGGTTCAGCTTTGGAATCATTGAATTGAACAAGCATTTCAAATAGAGTAATAGGTGCAATTGTTATTCACAGCATGTATGATTCAGTTTGATTGACATAGTCGAGTTTGAATTTAATTTGCCAATTGTTTGGTGAATACGTGTTCTCAGCAAAGAACCAATCTTTCGTGAAGTTACTAACACCAAGGGCAAAAACAAGATCACTGTCATGATATAAATCAACATATCTTATCCCTTGCATTCTGTTTGTCATGATCCAAGGTTTAAAATTGCGCAATTGGGTATTGAGACGTCTTTTGTACATGAGGTGAGGCGTAAGCCTCAATGCATGAGCCTCAAAATAAAAAATTGCATAAAGAGCAAATAAATGTTAAAAGTGATTTTTAATATAATACTCAAATAATATGTTAATTGATGATATATTAACTTTTTATTGAACTATAAAGTAATAAATTGATATAGATATGAAAAAAAATGCAAAGATGAAAAGTGGGAAGTGAGAAATTGAGTGAAATATAATTGAAATACAAATATTACATGAACAAAAAAAATATTAATATAGGAATTACATAAAAGTATCTCATAACATTAAGTTCAACTCCAATTCTTTCTTTCTCAATTTTCTACTCATCCAAATTTAATTTCTAAAAAAATTTGAAATAATTGGCAACAACTCAAATCATCATCACTGATGGTTATTATTTGAGTCATCATCATAACCAATTGGTCTTTCCCCTGTCTCATTCTATAGAGTCCAATGCCTCCCAATATGCTTCTTCATTTATTTCAATCATCTTCCTCTTTTATAAATATTTTTCATCAACATAAAGATAAATTAATCCTCCAATTTTTTAGTAGAGGAGGTGGTGATGGTGTACGACTTTCAAATGATCCTTGATGGAAGTTATGATGGTGCTGGCGGCTGTGATTAAGGCAGCGAGCTGGAGGTTGAGGTGGTAGAGAGGAAGTTTTTATGACACGAGGGTTCATGAAGACATGATTTGTTCTTGGCTTTACTTTAGCATCTATGTAAGTTTTAATATATATATATATACATGGTGAGGCATGGTATGCCTCAAGGCGGGCCTCAACCAAGCTGAGGCGCAAGCCTCATAAAAAAAAACTCGAGGTGTTTTTGATTGGAATTGTGCTGAGGCAGGCCTCAAGGTGAGCCTCATATTGCGCAATTTTAAACAATGGCATGATCCCACTTCTTATTGTAGTGCTAACCCAATGTATGCAGAACTTGCATTTAGATCTTGCTCATCAATGTACCTATCACAAACGAGTAGCCTATCAATAACAGAGCCCCTTTCATCAGCCTTTTGGTAATCTTTTGAAAGAGCGAAAGCCTATGGCCGACACTCTACTTCAATTCTCAGATGCAAATTTGCATCCTCCCAGAGAATATGTGGGTATGTTTCTCCCAAGTAGAATTGAGATACATGAAAACTGGGCCAAAGACCTTTTTCCCGGATTCTCCATTCCTGAATTTAGGCACAAGATTATCTCCAGAATAGTGAGCACGGAAGAACATCTCTTCTATCATAGGATATTCTCACCTTTGCGTTGATGAATTAGTTGGAGACCTCACTCTTTAAGAGTCTGGTTTGCCTTGCTACTACTATATGCTTATCAACATCGTTGAGGTACAACCAAAGAAAATGCTCGAAAAGCCAAGCTTCGAGTATGGAGATTGAGCGCTAAAGAAGGCCGCATTGTGGTCTTCATGGGTGTTGCCGAAACGCCTTATGCTCTCTGAAGCATTGGTCGAGGAGCTTTGGTCGTGTAGTATCGCCTTTGCTGAAGGCGGCAAGTGTTGCAGGCGCTTGGTCACGCGGGTAGGGGACGGGGCCGGATCAGAGTTGGGGCACGTGTGTTTGCGCGGGATGAGAACTAACTAAAGGCGAAGTTGCGGTGGAGATTGTGAGCTCTGAAAATTCGGCCCCAGACTCCGCCCGACTGTTTGCTTTTACTTCTTTTTCGGGGGAGTTTTAATATACTAAGTTTTGAGGTAAAATTTGGGAAGGCAGATGGGTTTGTAGATAAGACACTACCCATAGATTTCGCCTTCATTTTACGATGACTTTTTGATCTGAGTTCTGGTTTCCTATAGGCACAAGCCCTTATAGTTAATTACCCCTCCCGATAACGAGAGAGAACTTTCGATTAAGGCTAGTCGTTAAGGATGTCACATAGGTTATGAACCTATCGTATAATAGCAATAATTTTAGGATTTAAATTTTGATCTTATTGATTTGGATTTTGAAATTTAGATTTTAGAATTTATTACCATAAATTTAAAATTGGTGGTGGGGGGAATGAAGACGAACCCGATCAAGATCCCATGGTTCCGTCGTCCCGGGCTGTCATGATCCATGGTCTACTTAGTCAGAGGAGGTAGTCGACCCAACCTGACAGAAGGCACCTTATCGGCAGCCATGGGTTGCTTCGTCCAAGAATACCTTGTAGACCTGGGTTGGTGTTTGTCTAAAGGGATATATCTGAATCCACCTTAGCTGACAGAGGGCTTTATGCCTATCGAATATATCCTATGATTCATCGTTCAAGGGTTTAACGCCTTTAGGGAACATACGGGCTTTGGCCGTGATCGTAATATAATGGTGCCATTTTGTGGCAAAACCACCCGATCAGAGGACACGTGCCACGTCCCTGTTGGCAATGGACTATTTGAGGATGAATCGTAGTTATACACCCAATATGCATTCACTCTTTGTGAGCTGAGATTAATTTCAAAATTATCACCCCCGACAAACGGTTGCGGGAGGTGGATGATTTTTAATTTTAATTTTAAGGTGATATATTTCAATTTAAGAATTTGAACTATTGTTTGATTTGAGATTTGACCCCTCCGGTTGAAATTTTCGATCAACACGGCCATCATCGGGGTGATATTAAGGTACTTGTATTTTCGTAGGATTTTGGGAGACATTTTGTTATTCAAGTTATATCAACTCCGGTCCTTTTGAGGAGGAGGATGAAACTTGAATATTTAACCCGCGCAACATTCTCAAATCGTTGGATTTGAAATTTATATGCGACGATCAGAGCACATGTGAGTTGTAGTATTTGACCCTGCGCAGCATTCTCGACGATTTGAGTTTGTAACTTTAATAATTCTGTTGGAGCACATGCAGGATTGTATTTAATTTAATGGATCACATTTAATACATAAGGACATTTTAAAATAGTTAAATATGATCCATTTAATCAATTGATTTTATTTTAGAAAATAGCCTGGGATTTTATAAAAAAAATGCCCAAATTTTTATTGAAAGGCCTACGAAAACCTTCTGTCCGCTTGTACACATATTGTAGATTAATACTTGTAGGTTTATTGTGATTATAAAAAAATCTCCTATTAATATCAATAGGAAGTTTATCAGACCGATTGTTGTATATGTATTAAACTTTCTACAACTACATGTGGGTAAACTATAATGTCTTTTAGCATCTATATCCTTTCACCAATATCCTCAGATGAATATAATAGGGACGGCCATTGTTAGTTAATTGTATTAATTAATTAATTAATTAAATTAAAATAAAATTTTAATTTAATAATTAATTAATTAATTAATTCCAAATTAAATTAGTGCACATTTTTCTAATCTTTCAAAATTTTGTCTAAGTCCCAAAATTTTAAGTAAATTTCGCCAGCCTTCCGGCGTCCCCTCCCCGATGCCGGGAGGTAAGAGAGTGGCTCGACTCGACCGGATCAAATCGACGGCGAGGAGATTTGGGAGAGCGAATCGATCCCAAAAATAAGTCTTCGAATCTTCTAATACGTGTGATCTGTTGATTGAATAATTTAATTGATTGATCAAATGATATGTTTAAATCATTACTAATTTAATTATTTTTGCTTAATTGAGAGTTCTCCACTTTTCTCAAAAATTCGTATAAGTCCAAAAATTTTTCTAAGTCCTCAATTTTTTTGAGAAAATTTTGACATCCTCCCGGCGTCCCCTCCCCGATGCCGGGAGGTAAGGAATTGGCTCGACTCGGTCATTTTAAATTATACATTATATTACAATTATTATAATATAATATAACATTATATTATACTGTTATATTATATTATTATATTAATATAATATAACATTTATATATTATAACAATATATATATTATAATATTACATTATAGTATATATAATATAATATATATAATATACATATATAATAGAGAGGGAGAGGAGGATCGGGAGAAACAGGAAGCCCGATCGGGCTGGGGTCGAAGGCAAAGCCACGCACGGGAGTCTCGGCGTCGACGGAGGAGGCGTCGGATGGGCTCGTCGGCGACGTGGTCTACGTCGGTGGTAGTCAGGCCGGCGGGATGAGGAGCAAAGCAGGATGTTGATCCTCTAGGGCACGGTGGAACCAATGGGATTTGGCGTCAATAGAGGCCGATGATCTTCGGCGGGAGTAGAG